TACGAAGGAACCAATTATATTAAAGTACAGCTTATCGTTATATATATTTTTTAAAAGTTCATGGACCTCAAGTTAAAAATCTCTGCAGCTGTGATGCAGTAGGAAAAGTAATAATATCTGATAATGTGTTAAGATTTATGTAGTACCTGATATGTGCCAGGCACTGTGCTAAGTGCTTTATAGTGATCATTTCTTTGAGCCTCACAACAACCCTGGGAGGTCGGTGCTATTATTATCCCCATTTTATAGATGAGGAAATTGAGGCAAATAGGGGTTAAGTGACTTGCCCAGGGTCACACAGCTAATGTTAATAGCTAGTAACAAAAGTTAGTATTTATATAGTGCTTACTATGTGCCAGGCATTGTGTTAAGCACTTTACACTGATCTCATTTGATCCTTAACAGTCTTGGGAGGTAGGTATCTAATTATCCCCATTTTACAGCTGAGGAAGCTGAGGCAGAAGCTAAGTGACTTGCTCAAGGTCACACAGCTAGTAAGTGTCTGAGACTAGATTTGAACTGATGTCTCTTCTGTTCCTCTAGTCCCTACCCCTGAAAGGCACTGGATCTGTCAGTCTTGTGTCTCTTTAATGGGAAAGGGGTGAACTCAGGTCTTCCTGTCTCCAGGCCTGGCAGTCTATCCACTGGACCAAAAAAGGCATTGGCTTTGGAGTCAGTACCAAGGTTCAAATACAAACTGCATTGACTACCCAAAGAACCATAGGCAAGTCTCGTCTACTCTCTGGGCCTCGGTTTCCTCATCTATAAAATGAGGGCCTGAGTTTAAGGTTCCTGCCAGCTCTGAGTCTGTGATCCTAGGGACAGCCTTTTAAGGGGCAGCCTTTTGGTTTGCCCAGCTTCTTCCCTTGCGTCCCTCCAGAGTACCAGAGCTCTCTGACCCTGGCAGGGCTGGAGGCCGCAGAGAGGAGCACCTGGGTTCTCTGCAGTCTTTTCTGTGTTCCCAGGCTCGCCCGGCTGTGCTGTGTGCAGAGCTGAGGGAGGGGTCCTGGGCTGACTCTGCTCTTGGCTCTGGGTGAGTGGGATCCTGAAGCGTGGGGGAGGAGCAGGCCCAATTCTGCAGTAATCCCCTGAGCCTGCCCGTTAGCGGCGGGTCCCTGCTGGTCTGTCAGCTCACCATTCTGCCGCTGTTAGTCACCGTTCTAACGAAGCTGGTCATTAGCTTCTGGGACAGATGATTTCCAGGGGATTATTTGTATTACACACTTTAATGCTTTTTAATAGCAAATTTTTAATTAAATGGGAAAGGCCTTTTGGAAGCAGTGAGAGCAGCTGCCACAGGCACACTTAGCACAAGGCATGAGTTTGGAGGAGTGACTGGGTAGTGCCTCCTGGTTGAAAGTGCTAGAAGAAAGGATGGATCTGTGTGACAGAGGCGTATGAGACTTGGAGTCAGGAAGACCTGAATTCAAACCCCTCTTCACGTACCCACTAGCTAGTGTGACCCTGAGGAAACACTTAACAGTCTTCAGTCTCAGTTTCCTTATCTGTAAAATGGGGATAATGATAGCAACTACTTTACCAGAATTTCTGTGAAAATCAAACGAGATAATACATGTAAAATGCTTCATAAACCTTGAGGTACCCTATAAATGTTAGCTAATATTATTATTATTAGCTATTATATTACTGTATGAGGCAGCTAGGTAGTGCAGCTGGACCACCTAGAGTCAGGAAGATCTGAGTTTGAATCTGCCCTCAGATACTTTGTAGCTGTGTGACCATGGGAAAGTCATTTAACCTGTGTCCACCTCACTTCCCGTCATCTGTAAAATGGGCATAATAATGGCACCTACCTCCCAGAGTTGTATGAAATAAGGTGATATTTGTAAAGCGCTTTTCAAACCTTAAAGTGTTATATCGACGCTACTGTTGTTGTTATAGGTTATGAAGAAAGCGGAATATGAAGCTTATGCATCCCCTTCCAGCTGGCTGTAAAGGCATTTTCTTTCTTTGCTGGTCTTGAAAGGGTTAGCTTTCAATTAAGAATGGGTTCCTTTGAAGGCAGGGCAGGCTTAGGAACCCCAGGCTATCTTTGAGGAGCAGGATATTGCCTGTCCCTTAGGGTAAATGGTACCTGCTATCCATCCCCCTCCAAGAGGTAGAGAGAAAACGAGGAGGATGAGCAGTGGTTCCTTCGGTATACTGTAGGCATTTAATAAATGCTTGTTGATTTTTTTTTTAAGCCTTTGGCATGATTTGTAATCTTGGATCAAATTAGGAAGGCAAGCGGGCTCCACATGAAGGGTTAGGAGATCTAGACTGAAGCCTTGGTTCTGCTTGACCTTGAACCAGTTTTGCCTCATTTTCCTCATTTGCCAAATGGGGCTGATGCTTCATCTTTCCACTTCCCTTCCCTCCCCTTCCAGGGTCGTTATCAGGATCTCCTGATAAAACATGTGCAAGTGCTTTGAAAAGTAGATCTCTTCTAAAAATATACAGTGTTCGTATTTGGGCTCTTGGGTAATCCTGGGCCAACAGCCTTCATAGAAGTTGCTCCTCCTGGTTTTATACCTCTGACCATGAGCTTTCCTGGTTGAGTTTGGGTGGTGTTGAGCAATACCTTTTGTATTCCAGAAGACAGGGAGGGGAAACCTTGTGGGGCCCAGGGCAAAGCCTGCTTTTTCTCCATGGAGAGAGTTCAAGGGAAGAAAGTAGCCCAAAGGAAAGGATTCATCCTGCCTACCTTTCGTCTGAGATGGGAGGAGCGGAGAGTACGGTCCGCCAAGGGAGTTTAATGCCAAGGGCTTACTTAGATGATGCTTCCATCAGAATGATGATCGGGGCTTGGCAGCCTACCCAGAGGTGGCTTTGTGGGCAAAAGGTTGGAGAGGAGACCTCAAGAGAAACTAGGTTGGTTCTTGGCCCAGAAGACATGGGAGGGCAGGGCATGGGAAGGGAGTCTCTCCTTGTCTACTTAACCTTTACTCGTGGTCTGTCTTTTTTGGACGTCTTGCCTTATTGCCTTGGGTATCTGCTGCTGCTGAAGGGCTGCCCTGGGTCTGTTTTCAAATGCCTGATCATCTGGTACAAGTGTCCTTTGCCCTGAGTGTTCTGGATTTTCCCAACCCCTCACCCACCTTCCCATAATTCTTATCCCTTAGCTGTTCCTTCCCCTTTCCCACTTTCTTTTACTGCCTCCATTCTTTCTTCTAATCCCATTCACCATTTTGCTTTTTACTTCTGTAAGCTCACTCTCTTGGCATTCTTGCCTAATTCTTAGCTACTTATTGCTTTTAGCATCTTTCCTCACCCATCCCCTATGACATTTCCCCTCTCTGCTTCTCCACTAATATCCAACAGCAGCCACGGTATGTACAAGGGCAGTGGGCTAGGTTCTGGAAATCTAAAGATTAAAATATGACATTGTCTCTTTCTGCAAGGAGCTTGCAGAATATCAGGAGGATGAGACGTATACACTGATCTCCATGAGACAAGTTACAGTGGGACTAGCTCTCTCTTACTATGTATTTGTGTCTTTGAGAATAGGCAAGATCAAATCACAGCATGAAAGAATGAAGGAGGGAGGGATCCTTTCTAGCAAAAGAATGGGGCCAGGGAGGAGAAGTCAGGGAAGACTTCTTGGAGGAGATGGTGGCGGCACCAGAGAGGGGCCTTTGAAGAGGAACTATTTCATCAGGCAGAAGAATGGAGGAAACTCATTCTGAGGATTGGGGGGATGGATATACAAATGCATGGAGGCAGAGAAAGGACAGATTGAGCTTCCAGAATAGTAAGTAAACCAGTTTGACTGGAGCGTAGACTTTGAGATAAGGCTGACGAGTGTACCTTTAGAGTGAGATTGAGAAGGGTCTTGAGTGCCAGGCTAAGGAGATTGTATTTGACTTGGTAAGTGATGAGGTTGTGCTGACATTTCTTGAACAAAGAAATAACTCAGACTTACGTGTTATGAAGTTTCCTTTTGGGAGAATTACGAAGGGGAAGGGCTAGAGGCAGAGAAATTCGTTTGTTGTAATAATCCCCAGGCTGAGCAAGTGAAGTGAGCCAGGCACAAGTATAGAAAAGAAGGAAGGGGAAAAAAATGAAAATTTAAAAAAAGGAAGGAAGGAAGAAAGGAAGGGATAGGAGAGATACCGTGGAGGCAGACCTGATTGGGCTTGACCAAAGGTTGGATGTGGGAGGCAGAAAGGGGAAAACTGAAGATATGACTGAGGTTTCAAGCTTCAGCTAGTGGGAGAATGCATTGCCACTAATAGAAGGAGGGCAGTTTGGAGGAAAGGAGCAGATGGGGGCAGGGGGGATATGATTAGTTTTGCTAGACTGTAAACTCCCTGAGGGCAGAGATTTTGTGTCCCCAGCTTGGTGCCTGGCACATAGTAGTAGCTTAATAAATGCTTGTAGATGGATTAGTTAGTTTAGTTTTGAACCCGTGAATTCAAAGTGCTGGTGGGAAACATTCAGCAGGCAGATAAAAATTCAGAACTGGGGCTTAGCCAAGAGGTCAGGACTGGAGATGTAGGTTTGAGGGTCCTCCTCAACAGTGGAGCTATGAGAACGGATGAGAGATACCCAGGAAGCAAGAAGGGAGAAGAGAACCATTTTTTAACTCTGCATCTCTTTTTAAAAAAATGTCTTTTTTTCTTTCTTTCTTTTTTGCATCATCAGATTTTCCCCTTCCCCACCAGATCTCTCCCAGAGAACTCTCCTCTTCTTTCTCTCTTCCCATATGGAGTGGACTTCCTGGTTTCTCTTGCATCTCTTGGCTATATCTCCTTGTTCTGTCTGATTGTAGTGGATTGCAATCCTTTCTTTCTGTTGCCCGACTTGGAGGCCAGCATGGGTGAGCCCTGATGAGAAATGAGCTCTTCTTATCTCCTGTCAGTTGTGGAGCTCCTTGGAGAGAAGCAAGTACCTGGGCAAGGAGTGGGCAGAGAGGGCAAGAGTCTCTCCACCAACAAGATGCAGGGCTTCCTGAGTCTTCTTTCTTGCTAACCCCTCTCTCACTGTCTCCTCTTTTGCAGTGCGTCTCCATGACAGTATTTCTGAAGAAGGGTTCCACTACCTCGTCTTTGACCTGTAAGTGCCCCTTTGCCACTCACTGCCAGTAGTTGCATTAGAAGCATTTGGGCGGTTCCCTCCACTCTACTACTTCCCCAGCTTAAGAAAAGGCTTGGAATTCAGGACTCCAGAGGATGATGGGAAATAGTGGTCTCCCCAGAAGGCCTTTTTCTTTATTTCCCCCTCTTCAGCCTAAGAAATAGAAGAGGCTAGCATAACATTGTGGATAGAGAGAGCTGACCTCAGAGTCAAGAAGTCCTGGGTTCAGATGCTGCGTCAGGCACTTACTGAATTTGTGACCCTGGGTAAATCATGGAATTTTTTTAAGTGGCAACTCTCCAAAACTATAGGTTGCAGAGAAGGTGTTGACCTACATTGGTAGAGAGAGTCTCCTTCCCGAGAGTTCCCTACACCAATGCAGTCACAGATCTGAGCAGAAATAAATAGATGGACAGATACATTTATAGCCCTCTTTTGGCATTCCCCACCCCTGTTGCTGTTTTTTAGGGGGGAAGGGGATTTGACTCTAGGATAAACAGAGGAAACGGAGACTTTTGCACCTTTAGTTCTCTGAAGGAGATGGAGGCTTTGGGGCTAGCAAGGAAGACCCGAATTCAAGACCTGCTTCTGATAAACACTAGCTGTTTAACCTCTCAGTGCCCCCAAGCAGCACCCCTAAGATTCAAAATGATGTAGACAGCATCAGTGATCAGCACTGGTGGATGGAGTTTCTACACAGGAGTTCCCCACACAGATGAAATCTGTGGCTGTCACCCCCTGCCAAAAAATGCTAGAGGAAGCAAATTGGCCTTTATTAGTAACTTGGCTCCATGTGGCTTCTGCTGCTGCAACACTGCAGTTGTACATCTTGGAAATGCCTTCTCAGTTTTCCTGAAAGCTTGCTTTCCTGTTTTTTAGCTACTGTTTCACTAGGCCCAGGTGTCTGTGGAATTTTGTCACTCCTCACATTTAATATCGGGTTTCTCCCAATGGGCTCATTTATCTCCAGCCACAGGTGTTATTTTGGGGGACAGGCCAGGTGCTTTCTCCTGGGCGCCCGTCTTATTTCCTTCTGGTCCTCCTAAACAATGTGAAGGTCATAGAAATGTGACTGAAATGAAGGTGATCAATAAGCAAGGTGATTAAGCACCTACTGTGTGCCAGGCACTGTGCTAAGTGCTAGGTAGTTCAGTCTCAAGACTCTATGAGACTGGAACAGGGCCATCTTTAAAGGAAGAGGGTGAGCAGAGGTGACCTTGCATGGGTGGTTTGGGTTTTGCTGGAAGCAGGTATGTGCAAGTGGATTCATCCTTGCCTGTCCTGGGACTGGGATTTGGGGATCTTGCCCTCTGGCTCCTCTAACTCCCTCTTGCTCCCTCTTGTTGGGTTACAGCGTTACCGGCGGGGAACTGTTTGAAGACATTGTAGCCAGAGAGTACTACAGTGAAGCCGATGCCAGGTGAGCGTCAGTTAATAGAGGTGCAGAGTTTTTCCTGCAGTATTTAGTAAACTGCCTGCGGCTTGGGTTCTCTGGGTTTTGATCTCAGTAGATTCTATTGTAGCTCTTAGCTACCTTGGTGGTCCAGATGATTTGCCTCCCTGAGTCAGCTGTGATAAAGTTAGGAGGGGAGGCCAGCTGGTGTAGTGGAAACAGAGCCAGCCTTAGGATCAGGAGGAGCTGAGTTCAAGCCCTGCCTACTTCAAACACATATTATGTAATCATGAGCAGCCTCTAAGTACTCCAGATAACTTTCTGAGACTTAAAAGTTATGAAGAAGTCGCCGGTCTGCCTTGGCCACTACCAGTAGGTACACTGATGAAATCTCAGGTCTGTACCAAACGGCGGGGGAGGGGGGAGGATTGGAAATGTTTTTTTCTTACGAAAGGGGTCGTCGGTTCTGGACTGCTCCTGAATTTCTTGGGCTGGGGCAGGATTGTAAACTTAACTTTGAGCTTGCCTAGCCAGATTTTGGCCCAATTCCTCCAGAAATGTCCCCTTCGAATGCCCGTCCTCCGTGGGACGTCCACTCCTGCAGCAGCCACTCTGATATTACTTATATCTGTTCATTTATTCAACAGAGAGTTACTAAGCACTTGCTATATCCCAGACACTGTGGGAGGCAGGATATAGAACACAGATAAGTAAGATAAGATCCATGTCCTCAAGGAACCATTCTTTCTCTGGTTGCCACATCAATATTCTATTCCTAAAGCTCACGTCTGACTGTGACAGAATTCTTAAGACTGTGCTTAAGAATCTCCAATGGCTCCCTATTACCTCTGAGAAAAATACAGACTCCTTTGGTATTTAAAGCCCTTCCCAGTCTGGCTCTAGGCTCCCTTTCTAGGCTTGTTGCGTAGTCCTCTTCATTCACTGCTTCTGCATGCCAGCCACACTGGCTTTCTTGTTCCTTGTACACATCACTCCATTTCCTATCTCTCATCTGCCCATCCCCTTCCTGTGCCACCACCCACATTCCTCTTGACTTCCACCTTTAGAATCCCAAGCTTCAAAGTGTATCCCAAATGCCACTTTCTACATGAGGCCTTTCCTGATTGCTCCCCACACTCCCTCCAGAAAATTAGTCAATGAATTAGCAGTCAGTAAGCCTCTATTAAGCTCATGCTATGTGCCAGCGCTGTACTAAGTGCCAAGGATACAAATAGATGCCCACAAGGAGCTTGCAGTCTAATAAAGATGAAAATTTATTTATATAAATCTTTTATTTATGGTATACATATATAACATATACATTGTATAATATATTACAGTATATGGTATATACAATATACATACATATATTGTGTACATCTTCTCTAGTTTCTCACCCCTCCCCAATAGATTGCAAGTCTTTTGAAGGCAGGGACTCTCTCATTTTTATCCCTAGTACCTAGCACAGTTCCTGGCACATGGTAGGCACTTAATAAATGCTTTCATTGAATGAGTATTGAATGAATGAATTGGCCCGAAGAGTGCATCTCTGAGACTTCTGGTCTCCTGATGTCTTCTGACCACTGTGGCCAGCTGCCATATCCACATCTTGCTGTCTGGAATGAGGTCTCACCACCCCAGAGGCTTCTTCATAAAAGGAGTTTTCTTATTCCTGGAGATAGTTCTGATGTCCTGGTGTCCGAATCTTTTGATGAGCCTCTCTGTGCAATGCAGGTGTTTTCTAGATAAGCTTTGTCCAGCCTCCTTCTCTGGACTCTTAACTCCCTCTGCCCCCATCCTGGCACTTCCAAGTTTGTGGGAGTGGGTTGTTCTTACAGCCTGGCCTGGGAGGAGGGAGGGCATACCTTCTGCCAGTGGCTGATTTGGATCTCAAGATCACTCTGGTCACTTCTGGAGGAGATAAAGTTTCTTAAGGCCACTATTGTTTATCAGTTTCAGATGCTTAAGCCTCAAGAAAGCTCTCAAGTGGGAAGATAAATTCTAATGCCAGTGGGGATGGCCTGGGACCCAATGGGGGGGGGTGAGAGAAAAAGGGAGGAGGGAGATAGCCCTGGGAGCCTGGGGAGGGGGGGAGTGCTGAGGCAGGAAGGGGAGTGTAGGGGGATGACGGTGCCAGTGGGCTTGGCCTGGCTCAGCTGGGACACTTCACACTTTTGCCATTTTTGGCCAGGAGGCTCTCTGCCGGCCCAGCTCTGTTCTAATTATACATTTTTGTGGAGAGAGCGGGGAGTAGCGTCCTTGTCTGGCCCTGCAGCCTGTACTCTGTGTTATAGGGATCTGCAGAGCCCCTTGCCTCTGGTGGGAGTCCCAACACAGGTTTTGGATGGGAGAAGTTGGAAGTCAAGATTGCCTAGGTGGAAATACCAACATGAGAGGCTCCCTGTCCCAGTCCAGGTGCTAAAAAGTCTGTCCTGGGCTTTTCCTGCCTCCCCAGGCAGGACACCCCACCCTGCTCTCTGGGCACTCCCTAAGCAGTCAGTGGGGACATGTAGTGTGGTGGGTAGGACGGGATGTCTAAAATTCCATGTTTCAAACTACCACTTGAAGTCTGAAATGTAGGTAGTGCAGATTGGGGTAGGTAGTGCAGATTGGGGTGACAAGGACCTATCATGCCTGGTGAAGGGAACCGAGTCACTGAATGTCACTTGAGCCTGAGCTGGTTTTTTTCTAAACAAAAACATGACCTAGACCTTTCCTTCCCTTGACTCTCCCTTGGGCTCCGTTTGTACAACTCATCTGGTATTTTGTGTTAACAGCTCACTGTACATTGTATGGTTCACATCTGTAGCACATTAAGGTTTACATAGCACTTCATATATCTCGATCAGTCTTCATAGCAACCCTGTAAAGTAGGTGCTCTTCCTACCCTCATTTTCCAGAAATTGAGCTCAGCGTGATTAAGTGATTTGCCCAGAATCCCACAGCTACTCAAATGCTTAAGGCTGAATTTGAGCCCAGATCTTCCTGCCTACCGAGCCTTTCATTCAGTACTGCCAGTAGAAAATCGAATACTATTAGTTGATAATTCTTATTAACAGTGATCTTATCTTCCTTGCTGGTCTATAAGCAGGGACCATTTCCTGTCTCATCTGGCACCATGCCTTGTTTCTAGTAGGTGCTCAGGTATTTTTTCATTCATTCACGCCAGTGATTCTCAAAATTATTGGAGACCTCTCCCCTCCCAAAGAGCTTTTATTTATGTGGATTGTAGCTATTGATATGTACTATGTTAGAAATGAGAACAACTTAATATTATTATGAAAATAGTTTTTTTAATCTCCTGGACTCCTTGGTCCTGGACTGTACTTGGAGAACCGCTGATTCATTCAGTAAATATTTACTGCCACAGAGCAGATAGACACACCAGAATGGTAAAACTGCAAAGCACACTGGGGAGCTAGGGCAGAGGGGTGGGGTTGAGGAGGGCTTAAGCCCAACACTGCCTCCTACCTTACACACACACACACACACACACACACACACACACACACACACACACACACACACACACACACACACAGGTGGCTTCCCGGGCAGCCAAAAACAAGTTTTGAGGAGGGCAGAAGTAACTCCAACAGTCTTGGCTCCAGTGCATTCAAGGATCTTTTTGTGGGTCCTTGGAAGCCGGCTGCTGTCATTTTGGAGGTTCCCTGGGGACCTGTTCATGAGCTTTGGATGAGGGCTGTCCACTCTTGGGCTTGGAATGACTGTGGTTTAACCCTGCTTCCTTCTTTCTTTCCCATTTGCTTTCTCAGCCACTGTATTCATCAGATCCTAGAGAGCGTCAACCACATTCACCAGCATGACATCGTGCATCGTGACCTCAAGGTACTGACTGCATGCCTACTCTTGCTGCACCTTGTAGCATCTTGGCGCCATCTGGTGTCGAGCACTGGTAGTGCTTGGACCATAGAGGAGATGCAGGAAGTCCTTTGACTTGGGTTGCCAGAGTTTCCTCTCCTCTGCTCGCGCAGATTTAGGGGGGCTCTGAGGGTCAGGGTACTACAGATTACTCTGTCTTCCCTCTTCAGCCTGAGAATCTTCTGCTGGCGAGTAAATGCAAGGGTGCTGCTGTTAAACTGGCTGACTTTGGACTGGCCATTGAGGTGCAAGGGGATCAGCAGGCTTGGTTTGGTAAGGGAGGGACCCCCTCCTTCCTGGGATGCACAGCCCCTGTCCCTTTACCCCCTTCCTCGGGATGCACAGCCCCTGTCCCTTTACCCACGTCCTTGGGATGCACAGCCCCTGTCCCTGTTCCCTTCCATGTAACCAAATGAGAGCTGAAATTCCAGTGTTTCTTCCCTTCCCAGGTCACCCAGCCTGGCTGTGTCCGGTGCTGGGTCGGCCTTGTGATTCCATGTCTTCCTCCCATTCTGGGGAGATGAGCAGGAAGTTCTGAGTGCTATGTGGTCCTGTTTGCCCGTCCTTGATTCTGGGTGGTCTTCACTGCAGTCCTTGTCTTAATGACTCCATCCAGAAGCTGAGTCTATCTCTGCTACCCAGAAACAGATACTGATGTGAATTCAGAAAAAGCTACAGGCCCGGGCAACGGGAACAGCTTGGAAAATGAGGTGCCCTGCATGTGATGGTGTGGGAGGCAGACATATGCCAGTGACTTTTTCTCCCAACACAGGCTTTGCTGGTACGCCAGGGTATCTGTCCCCTGAAGTCTTGAGGAAAGATCCCTATGGAAAACCTGTGGATATCTGGGCCTGTGGTAAGCCCTTTTAACACATTCAGCTGTGAGTATGAGCAGCCTTAGTTTCCAGGAGAACTGGAAGGGGAGGAGGAGGTGGTGGGAACGGGAGTCCTGCAGTCACGTGGCCAGTTGGTAATGTCTGAATGGATGGAGCTCACCCAAGTGGCCAGGAGACTGATATTCCCCTCCCAGCTCTCTAACCAAGTGAGCAGAGAAGGTTCGCTTGCTGCATTATTGTAGGTTCCCTACTCTTAAGAACCGCCAAACCAACACCAGGGAGTTGGTTCAACTGAATACAAATTATATGAACACCTCCTGGATGCAAGGCTAAATGTCTTCCTGCCTGTTAAGCTGATTGACTCAGTTCCCCTCACCCCCCCATAAAGGTGAAGTAGGGAGCAAAGCTTTAAGGTGATGATGAGAAATTCCTTTCAAATGAGAAAATATTTATAAAGCACGTAGTGTAGTGCCTGGTACATAGCAGGTGCTTAATAAATGTCTGTTCCCTTCTTTACCCTGAGATAATTGCGCACGCGCACACACACACACACACACATACACACACACACACACACACACACACACACACACACCCACACACACACCCACCCCACTCATCCATCTCTGATTAGGTCTGACCTTGGTTTGGCTACCAGTTTGCTGAGTGACTCTATACCCTGGGTTGTCCCTAACCTGTACCTTGGGGTAGGCAGCTGGCCCTAGTTCTGTGTTGTGCTCTGTGTCTTCCTGTAGGCGTGATCTTGTATATACTTCTGGTGGGATATCCTCCCTTCTGGGATGAGGATCAGCATAAGCTGTATCAGCAGATCAAAGCTGGAGCCTATGACGTAAGGACATGCTGGGAGGGTCCTGACCATACCCTTAGTGTGGGCCTAAGGGGAGAAAGGGGTCTGGGGAGCATTGGGGTGTGGCCTTGTCCTGTCCTGTGGGTTACCTGTGGAGGGGTTTATGGTGCCCTCCCCTCCCCCAAACTCCGTGCCCGAGGCAGCAACTTACTTCTTAGACCAGAGAGAAGGAGAGAATCCCTGGAACCCTTCTGTTTGTCACTTAACAGAACCACATTAACTTCCCCCCATTTATGCTGCTTTCTTTCTTTCTTGGTCACGGAGTGTTTGGTCATTTGTGTTCCCAAGGCTTTGGAACACACACTACTTCAATCTTCAGTACTTTCTGTGTTGTCTCAGTGGACCAGATCCCATGGAGGGAGTTCAGTATGGGAAACCGAGGCAGGGAAAAGGAGTCCCCTTGCCTGATGCAGTACAGTGCTCATGTTTTCCCCATTTCTCCTTCCCTCATTTCCACTCCCCAGTTTCCATCACCAGAGTGGGACACTGTGACTCCTGAAGCCAAGAACCTAATCAACCAGATGCTGACAATAAATCCTGCCAAGCGTATCACAGCTGACCAAGCACTGAAACACCCGTGGGTCTGTGTAAGTGTCCCATTTCAGGGAGAACCGAGGCCCTGGCTAGACAACAGTAGGGTTCAATAAAGATCTGGGGGTTTTAGTGGACCTCCAGCTCAGTATCGGCTAGTGGTATTATGCCACCACCCCAGGAAACCTGTGTGTATTCTAAGATGAGGCTTCTCTATGTCCCGTACTAGCCAAAAGATGTCTGGAGGTCACGCTTAGTGCCAGTTGCCATATTTTGTGAAGGAAATAATCAAATCAGGGATATCCAGAGGAGAGCAGTGGTGAGGGGAGCCTGCAGACTGTGTCATAGGAAGACCAGTTGAAGGGATTATTTAGACTGGAAGAGAGACTTATAGAACAGCTATCTAAAAGAATTTGAAGGGGTACCATGTGGAACAGGGAGTAGCTTTATTCTGCTTGGCCCCAGAGGATAGAGGTGGGAATAGTGGGGGCTGGAGGGGCGGGGATTACAGACATGCCAGTTTAGGCTTAGAAAATATTCTACCAATTAGAGCTATCCAGAGATAATAGATTGCCCCTCAAGGGGGTGGGATGAGGTGGGGAGTGAATAAGCATTTATTAAGCACCTGCTGTGTGCCAGGCGTGCAAAGTTTGGCTTTACAAATATCATTTCATTTGGTCCTTATAACAGTCCTTAGAGATCAGTGCTGTTATTAACTCATTTTATAGTTGAGGAAACTGAGGTAATTAGAGATTAAGTAGCTTGCCCGGAGTCACGCAGCTAATGCATATCTGAGGCTAGGTTTGAACTCGGGTCTTCCTGACTCCAGGCCCAGTGCCCTATCCATTCCTCTACCTAGCTGCCCGTAAAAGTGACAACCAGATGATTGTCTGTTGGAGATGGTGTAGGGATAATTCTTTGTCACATACAGATTAGAGTAGATGTCTTCTAGGGTCTTTTCCAACGTTGGGATTCTGGATTCTACAAAAGGGCATTTCTTCTCTCTAGAATATTCTCTTTACTAGATGACCAGTCACCCTGTGATTTGGTGGTATTCTTGACCTGGGATTCTTCTTCAGTCTTAAAAACTCCGAGTAGCATGTGGCGGATGGTTCTAGCAGCACCTGATCTGAGTTGACATGCTCTGTATTTGTTAAATGAGAAATACCTTGCTCATTTAGAACTTAGCTCCACGAAGACCTTATCTATTGAGAATAAGGCTGAGAGCTGGCACCAAATGCCCCATCCCCCCAAAAAGGCTCATGGGCAGCAAAAATAAGAAACGTAGGAGAGGCTCTCTGTCAGATCCTGTTTACTTTTACTCTGTGCACAGTTGGAGCAAGCTTTTAATTATTTGGTTTCTAAACTCATAGCGGAATTGAAGTAGTAAATTAGAAGAGGAAACACGTGGCCACGGGCAATGGAGCTGGCAACAGCAAGCATTTATTAAGCATTTATTAAATGCCTACTATGTGCTAGGCACTGGAGAAAGATTAAAATGAAACTTGTCATTGCTGTTAAGGAGTTTATATCCAGCTTGGGGCTAGAACATTTATTTTTACAGATAAGTAAATAAGAGAGAGTTTGAGCAGGGAGAATGTGCCTTCAACTAGGGGGATCAGGGCGACTTTCTTTTACTTTCTATTTGGAGGCAAACGAGATTAAGTGACTTGCCCAGGGTCACATAACTGTTAAGTGTCTGAAGCCATATTTGAACTCGGGTACTCCTGACTCCAAGGCTGGTGCTCTATTCACTGGGCCACCTAGCTGCTCACCTTCTGCAGGAGCTGGAACTTGAATTGAGTCATGAAAGAAGCTAAAGATGTCACAAGGTAGAGAGGAAGAAGGAAGGCATCCTAGGAAGGGGATACCAAGGTAGGAGGAAATGGGGTACCAAGTTCAAGAAATAACAAGTGAGCCCAGTTTGACTGGAATGTAGAGTGTGTGAGTGAGAGGGATGAACGTGCAGTCAAACTGGAAAGATTCTTGAGAAGAGAAGTGACCTGAGTTTTAGGGAAGATCCTTTTAGGTAACTGGATGGAGGCTGAATTGGAGAGAGGGGAGCCTGGAAGCCGAGAGACCATTTAAGAGGGTATTGTACTCATGCAAGCCAGAGATGATGGGGTCCTGAATGCTAGAGATGCTGGTGGGGGAAGAATTGGCATGACGTGAGGGTTGAGGAGAAGGGAAGAGTTGGACGTGACTCCAAGGTTGTGAACCTGAGGAACTAGAAGAAGAGAAGTCTCATCGGCAGGGAAGTTTGGAAGGGAGGAAGGAGTGTAGGGAATGAGTTGGGGGTTCCATTTTGCCCATGTGAACTTGGACAGGTCAGTTACTTTCTTGGAGCCTCAGTTTCCACCTCTGTAAAACAAGAGGGTTGGACTAGATGGCCCCTGGGTTCCCTCCTAGCTTTAACTCTACAGTTGCCTGACTGGAGCCCCGAGTGTTTCAGATTGTGCTGAGCTGTTTGGGTCCCTCGCATGGGCAGGTGGCACGTCTAGGGCCCGGACATCTTCCAAGAAGAGCCACCAGAGTTTGAGTATGAGTCATGGGAGGGAATGGAGGACTCCAGTGCTGTGCCTGAAAATGTCATCAGAGTGACCCCACAGTCCTTAACAAGGAAAGCCTCACGTTTCCGGCTCTACCGTTCCAGATTCCCGAGTAGGATTGGGGGAGCTCTTCCTGTTTTCTGTGGGGAACTTGAAGCAGCTAGGTTTCAAAATGGATAGAGTTCTGGGCCTCGAGTCAGGAAGAGCTGAGTTCAAATCCAGCTTCAGATACTTATTAACTCTGAGACCCTGAGCAAGTCATTTTACCTCTGTCTGCCTCAGTTATAGCACTTGGAGTGGTGTTTCCCACATGTTATCTCATTTGATCCTCACAACAACCCTAGGAGGTAGGTGGCGTTGTTATTATTATTCCCATTTTATAGATGAGGAAGCTGGGGCTTAAGAGACTTCTCTAGGGTCACATAGCTAATAAATGCCTAAGGCAAGATTTGGACTGGGGTCTTTCTGGCTCCCGACTGAGTGTTGTATCTACTATACGCCGTAACTTCCCTATGGGAAACAGCTAACAGGCCAGCATGACTGTAGTAGAGAGTGTGTGAAGGTTCGAGAACATTATGACATAAGACTAGAAAGGTAGGTGAGAGCCGCCTTGTGCCAGGCTTTAAATTTGCTAAGTGAAAGACTTTGTATTTTGTCCCAGAGGCAGTAGGAAGCCACCAGACATTTTTGAGCATGGTAGCGATCAGAGCAGGTCTGCAGTTTAGGAATCTTATTTTGGTGGCTCTTTTGAAGATGGATTAGAGAGGGAAGACCCTAGAACCAGCCTCAGTTATAGTAATCCAGGGGAAAAATACTAATGCCCCAAACAAGTGTAGAGTCTCTAGGGCTGGAGGAAAGGTGATGAATAAGGCAGATGTTGTGGATGTAGAATAAAGATTTTTTATTTAAATTTTTGTTGTTTTTAATTTTATTTTATTTTTGCAACTGATTAGATATGAGATGATGGTGTGCTGGGGGCAGAATCAAGTTTGCCCTCAAGGTTGCAAGCTTGGGTGACCAAAAGGGTGATGGGGCTTTTCACGGAGATCCAGAAGTTAGGAAGAGGGATGAGTTTGGGCAGAAAATCACATGGGTGCCATTTTGGGCACGTGGATTTAAGGTGCTAGTGAACCATCTAAGCAAAGATGTTCAGCAGGCCATTTGTAAGAGAGGACTAGCATTCGGCAGGATGAGAAGGATTGAATATGTAGATTTGGGAGTCATCTGCCTAGACATATTAATCAAAGCAGTGGCATCTGACCGATAGAAAGTGAGGCCAGGTCAGAGCCCTGGGGGACACCCACATTTGGGGGCCTAGAGATTGATGCTGATGTGGAGAGGAGCCTGAGAAGGCACAGTCAGACAAGTGGATGGCCAAGAGTAAACAGTGCCACGGAAGCTTAAGGTAGAGTGTAGTATGTCCAGGCTGGAAAGGAAGGGGTGGTATGCAAGGCCAGAATATGCGGAGGATAAATGTAATGAGGGCTGAGATGAGGCCACTGGTTTTAGAAGTTAAGAGAGTGCTACTAACCTGGGATCGAGTCTTTTCTCCTGTCTGGGCCTCAGTTTCCTCATCTGTAAATTGAGAGAATTGGATTAGATGAATGCTCAATGACTCTTCCAGATCTGATGGTCTGTGGTTCTTGAAGTTCATTATTAACAGACTGTCCTTTCATTGCTTTCTGTCTCCTGGGAACATTTGAATACCCTCTGGAGGCATCATTAGCCTACACTGTTGTTTATTATTCAAACTTTTATCATCCTATAAAACTTGCATTTGTATAATGCATTATCTAAAAGTACTTTCACATTGATGATCTCATCCTGACCTCAGCAACCCCATGTGCAGTAGTGAGGGCAAGTATGATTATGCCCATTTTTTGGATGCCTGCTGAGCACAGTGTCCAAGGCACAATGGCATTCTTTCTTGTCTGGGCATCGGAGCGAGGAAACTTGGCTGGAGTGCCATATGCAGTGCCAGTGCATTCTCTCAGTCAAAAGCATTGGGTGAACCGCCTTCTCCGTTTGTCTTTTCAGCAACGTTCTACAGTGGCCTCAATGATGCACCGGCAGGAAACTGTGGAATGTTTGAGGAAGTTCAATGCCCGGAGAAAGCTGAAGGTGAGTTGATCCCCCTTCTCTCACCAGCTAATCCAGCTGCTCTGTTACATTTAGCAGTTTGGAAAGTTGAGGAGTTGGGGGTGGTGTGGGGTATGGTGGCCATGGATCGCCCAAAGGCCAGTTTGTGATGGTCATAAGAGTTGGAACTAGGCTGGGATGACCAGGGCTTTGTCCAAGGTGCTAGTCTCCCTGGGGAATCTTATCCCCGTTCTCAGAAGTCCTCTGTTGGACCTGCACTAAGAGGCTCTATGAGGGTTCCATTCCTGTGACGCTCGGTTCTGCCCTCATCCTGCCCTCTCTGCCCCCAAGAGGTGGTTGGTCAGTTCCTCTTGCCGTGGCTCACTCCCTCTGCACTACCAACAGCCTCCGTGGCACCGTTGTCCTCTGTATCCCTTCCCACCCCTCACCAGCGTGACCCTAAGTTGGGGAAAGAGCTCGGCATAAATGTCCCTAAACCTCATTGTACCAATCATTTATTCCTTTTCTTTTCTCAGGGTGCCATCCTCACAACAATGTTGGTCTCCAGGAATTTTTCAGGTAAGTTTCTAGCCAGCAGGGCATTTCAGTCCTTCCAAGGTGAGTTGGGAGGTGAGGTTGGGTGGGGTGTTCTCCCCTCCTGTTCTCAGACACCCGAGACAAGCTATAGCTTTTTGGGATTAACAAAGGGCATTGGCCTGGGTTTGGCCTTCTGACCCCATAAGATCTCCTCCAAACTAGGATGTTCAGGCTACTTTGCTTGGGTTTAGACTGTCTAAAGGATCTTCCCTAGCACATCTACACATTAGCACCCCTGTTTCTTCTGGGGTTAGCCTAGCTCTCTCTCTCTCTGCTTGAAAATCTTAGTTGACTCTGGTTATCAAGGAGAAGGGGGTGGTGGGAGCTGAAAGAGGAGAGAGAAGCTAGGGGAGAGCTAGGAAGCTCTCCCATAGTGAGAGCTTGAGTCAGCCTTCACTGCCAGCTTGCTGACTGAGCACATCTAGACCCGTCAGCCTGTTTTCCTAATCCGTGGCAGGAGGCGAGCAAGCCCAGCCCACTAGCCCAGAGAGATTATGCTAGATGTCAAGCTCTTTGCAGAATAAAGTGCTTATTACTTTCTTAATGATAATAATTGTAAAGGAGAGAAGGAATGGAGGGAGAGGACAGAACCGGCTTAATGATGTGAGTGTGTGGGAAAGACGGGAACATAACTGAGAAATCAGCCTCCATGTTACCATATCCTATGCGTCTTCTTATCCTGTGTTATCACAGGGCTTCTGGCCCAGGGCAGCTGCAGGGAGTCCACCCGGCATGGCAGGGCAGGCTTAGATGAAAAGGAGAGTGTCCTTTCTCTCCAGATGCTACTAATCATGCCTCTTTGGGTCAGGAGTTTCCTCTCTCTCATTCATTCCTCTAGGTTTGGGGTTTTTTGGGGTTTTTTTCCCTTTTCCTCTTAGTTCCATTCTTTCTCTCACATCTCCTGCTGCTTAGCGATGTCAGCCTGCTGTAATATACTCAGTGGAAAACTTGATAGGAGGACATTTCAGAAAGCACTGCCCACTGACCTCAGGCAGAATGGAGTTATACCCTTGTTCTGGGAAGAATAAAACCATGGACTTTTAGGGTAACAGTGCATGAGAACAACCAGCCGTGGAGCTTAGCAAGAAGATGTCTGGAGGGTTAGGGAATGGCCAATGACCTTAAGGCCTTTCTGTCACTTTGACAATGGAATATTACCTTCTTTGTGTGTTACCCTTGAAGCTGTTTCTGGCATATTCTTGAGATGAGGGGTGAGTTTGACAGCCCTATGAAAAATGGAACTGAGGGCTAGTCTAGCTGATTTCTGCTAGGGATTTAAACTAGACTCCTACAACCTGGTTCTTAGCCCCTAATTACTCAGTACTTCTGATGCCCAAATTTGGTCATGCTGAAATTACTGGACGGTCCCAGTGGCATTTTTATGTTGAAGTTAGAGCCATAATTCTGTCCTTTCTCATGTCTTGAGGGTACCTTCTGGCCCTAGACCTCCCATTTAGGGTCAGCTCCTCTGTGCTGCCTTCTAGGGTAGCCAAGAGTGGCTGATCCCCTGTGGGTTAGATTCTTGGTAAGGACAGGGAAGGCATTTCACGCTGATCCCTGAGGAGCCTTAGAATTTTGCTGTGTCTTCTGTTCTTCTGAGTTCTCTCTACCCCATAAGCTGCCTTGTGCAGGGGAGATATGAGACAGAAAAGCAGCCCTGAACTTGGCATTGAGCTGACCCACTGGAGTCAGTCCCTCAGGCTGACCTCTTGCTGACCTCTTCTTACCCTAGTCCCTGGAATAAGTATGGAGCAGATCCTGTCTTCAGGGGCTCCCATGAGAAGAGATGCTTAATATTCCTAATAAGGGAAAGACTGTGCACTTTTCTTGATTAGAAGCTGGAATGAATATAGATCAATTAAATCTAGATTAAGTATTATTGCCCACTTTGGGATAGGTATTTTCTCAGGTATTACTAGTACAAAGACCAAAACAAAAAGGCTTCTGCCCTTAAGAATTTTATGTTCTACCAGAAGGCTACCAGATGTACTTGGATAAGTTATAGGTATTTTTGAGGCAGGAGAAAATTCTAACAGGTGGGGAAATCCATGAAGGCTTCCTGGAAGAGGTAGCATTCAAGCTAAGTCTTAAAGAAGGGGGAAGGATTCTCAGAGGCAGAGATGATGGAATAAGTTGCAGACACAAGAACCAGCCAGTTTGAATGGGTGCAAGTAAGACATGGAGAATTAAATTTGGGGACCGGCCAAGAAGCTGGTTTGGCTGGGATGCTACTTATCCTCTGGACCCGGGGATCTTGGCTAATTGTAAAATTGGGGTTTGTGCTGGTAGGAATCATTTGCTTCAGTCATTTGTTTCTTTTTGGAGCGCTTGTCCCTGGGGTGCCGTCCGCTCCAAATTTATATGCTTAGAGAACCAGCGTCCTCTGCCTAACGAGGAGGGCATCAAGGAGGGAGGAACCAGGGAGACTGGAGATCCCTGTCTAGGACTAGGTCCCTGATTAAGCATCGACAGCGTGTGAGCTGTGACTCTTCCTCGGAGCCCTGGGGGCCAGGGTTTCTCCAAGGTTTGGAAGGTGGTGGAGCACAGGGGTTGGCTTCCCTCCGTCTAGCATGGCCCCCAGGGAGGCCGTCGGACTTCCTTGCTCAGGCATTAGGGAAGGAAGTTGTTCTCTAGGTAGAATTCTGTTCCCTCTCACCTCTGTCCGGTTCTGAGCCCACACCTAGAAAATCAGCATGTACCCCGTTTTCTGGGGCGTGGACAGGACACGTGGTTTCTGTGGGTCTTGTCTGTCTCCAAAATGAGCTTGTTGTGTGTGGGGTACATTGGGGGGCAGGGTGGAGCCTCTTTCCATGTGGTGGAGTTTTGATGTCCCATCCCACCCTCTGCCCTTTCAAAGACCTCCAGTCCTCCATGCCACCCACTCTATTTTGCCGAAGGGCAACGGTTGCCTTGTTGCCCTTCCCCCTCAGACGCTCCTGCTCCTCCCAGCTCGGCTGGCTTGGCCACGATGCCCTTGGCCCTGGTGTGCGTGGGCTGTGAGTGGGCTCCCTTCTTCTTGCCCACGTCTCACGCTCAGGCATGCTAGCTGCTGATTGGCCACTGTGGCTTCGTGGCGGCTCTTAGCACTGAGAGATTGTATCCCCTCAGTTGGCAGGCAGAGCTCCGCCCCCGCCTTGGCCGCTGTGAGCGCCGCCGGCCTGGCCGGGCAAGGTACGTGGCATGAGTCCTCCCCGCCTGCCTGACCCAGCCCTCTCCCATCCTACCAGGAGGGGCCAGCATGTCAGGCCCACTCACCAGGGAGGTGCCACCCATGCTTGCTGGCTGAGATTGGCATGCAGAATGGACCACCTAACCTGGCATTGTCAGTGCACTGGCACTATTGAGCCCACTAACCAGCTCTGCATGCTGGGTGCTTGCTGACTCTCAGGGGGCTGTAGCCTGGGGGAAATGGAGCTAGGCAGTGGCAGGCATTGCCTCTAGACTGCCTGAGAACTCGAGCTGCCTGGTACATCCTGGCCAACAAAACACTCATGGCGGCAAGGGATGGAGGCCGTTCGGGTAGCCCCCTGGGGCAGCGCTGGGTGTGGCATAGAGCCTACTAAAGTAGCTGCGATGAGTCCCAGGTTCTGCTTCTCAAGAATCCAGAGAGCAGACAGAGCATCTCAGATCCAGAGCTCTCGCCCCTCCTGGGGAAGAGAAGGGACAGGTCGGTCCCACTTCCTAAGGAACAGGCCGTATCAAAGAATATTCCCCACCCCACCCTGCAAGCATTGATGGGTCAGGCTAGGGTGTATCTATGGCCTTATGGGAAAGGGCCCTGGCCTCATCTGAGATGCAAAGGACTCCTAGCTCTTGCCCGCTGGGCTCAGAATGTATAATGGATGAGGGCAGGAGGGTCATGTCCCACCCTGAGAGAATAGCACAGACGGTGAGAGCTGGTCTTTTGCCCCTTACATTCTGCACCTGCCCATTTTTCAGCCTCCCCAACCCAGCCTTCTCAGCCAGCCCCCTTCCTTAGGTCTTCCAACATAAGAGCTCACTGCTGCTCTGTCCCACCTGAAACCTCTCTGAGATCTTACTGTTCGGCCAGTCCTTCCTGTTCTCGTTGGGCAAGGCAGCGAACCCCTGGGGAGATGGTTGAGTGAGCTGGGCTTATATTAAACCAGGTGTACACATTCCTGCCTCCTTGAGGCTTAAGCCCCTTTGTGACAAAGTGCTCGTTTTCCTCCTGTAGGCTGGTCTCTGTCGGTGTCTGTGTGTATGTCCCTCTGTTTGTTCCTTTTGTGCAGTGTGAATCTCTTTATCTCTTGATGAAGCCTTAGAAATCTTGTGGCCTCGGAGCATAGCAATCCTGAGTTTCTCAGTAGAGCCTAGGGAAAATTGGGTGTCTCGCTGTCCCCTTCACCTCAGCTGCTTGGCTCGTAAGGATCTGGGTTAGATGTCGTTGGAGAGAGTGCTCCGAATTAACGGTGTCATCCCTTGGTGGTGGGGGCCTTTTCTGAATGATGATTTCTCCCCAGAGATGGAGCATTTCCTAATGTAAGGCAACAGAGGTAGGTCCCAAGGCGGGTGAGATTTGGGGCTCAGTAGGTCCCAGATCCCAGCACCCAGTGAGTTCTGATGCTGCCTCCCCTCTAACCAAGGTGGACCAAGACGGACATTCTTCCATGGGGCAGTTGTACTCTGTAGGTTCTGAGGACTGGAAGGATGTCAGAGGGCGTGGCTGAAGCTACACCTCTGACAGGCCCAAAGTTCTTTTGGTCCTTCCGTCCTACCACGAATTCACATTGGAGAGAGAGTGAGAGAAGACATTCATGCTGCGAGAATCCTGATTTTCTGCTTTGTCTTCACAGCTGCCAAAAGCCTGTTGAACAAGAAATCAGATGGAGGTGTGAAGGTAGGTCTCTCATCCACTCCTTGGGCCAGAGACTCCTGCTCTGACCGCACCTACTGCAGGGGCTTCTGTCATCTTGTTCCCTCTCTCTTCCTAGGATCCCACACCTGGCTATTTTCCTTCTAAATCAAAGTTCTTTTCTGTCTTAAGGCTGCAGAGTCCAGTGGGCAGAGGGAAAGAAAGGAAATGATGTTTCTCCTCTAAGGGACTTGGAGGCCACTCATCCAAAATGGCGTCACTTGGGAGAGCCTAAGAGCTGAACCCTAAACCCTGCCTCCTCTGGGAGCTTGTCACCTTCTTCTTTAAGATGTTCCCCTCTTTTTTTTTTAGGTTACTTGGTTAATATCTTTAACTTCCTCAGTGTGATTAGGTATTGCATAAAATAGCAGAGACAGATATGTGGCTGTTTGATTTCCCCCACACACACCCACCCCATTCTGCCCTTGGGTGAATCAGTTTTCCATGCAGAACCAGGAAAAGGAAAGTAAGATTGGACCTTGAGAAGCCCAGAAACCAACAAGGGGCCTCAGTAGGATGGATGGGTGAGGAAGGGAAAGACCAACTTTATATATTGATGGACTCTTAGTTGAGGTGGGTAGAGGGGAGACAGCAGTCAGAAAGTTAAAAAATTCCAAAGGTATGGCTTTGTGCAGAAAATGGTAGACCATAGTGATGGTTGCTGTGAAAAAATTCAACCCACAAAACTGCCCAAGTGTATAAAATGTTTGAACTGGACTTTTCCCCTAGGACCTGTATGTGCGTCTACATCTGAGATGTGAACGTGTACCTCTTCCTCTTTCTCGTTCTTTTCCTCTGCCCTAATTCTGTGTGCTTGGCTGCTCCTGTGTATACCTACCCCCAGGAAAGGAGGAGTTTGGAACTAGAGCCTACCCTTTGGACGTATCAGAGTAGGAGCAGACGCTGGGTAGGAAATGGGAGAAGTAATGAAGGAGCCACAGGTGTCAGAGGGGAGGACAGGCATTGGCTGAGGAGAGAGATTTGAGCTTTGTTCCCTTGGTAGATACTAGATAAAGTCCGAGTCCTTAACTGCGGGGCTCTGTACAGAATCACAAAAGAAGCACGAGGTCTGGCTTCCCCTTAAAGACATTTGCTATTTAGTCAAGTTGGTGAACCGCCTGCACGCAGAATGATTATGTGAGAATAGTCAGGTGACTCAGACACACCAGGCGAGACAAACAGCTGGAGGAATCACATATATTGATCTTGACATTCTTGTTCTAAGGGAGACCAGAAGCGGAAAGGAAGTTGCAGCTGAATAGGATAGATCTCAGGCTGTCCTTGGCTAGGCAAACAAAAGGTTTGACTGAATTGGTTTTAATGAAGGATTGTAGGGAATGGGACCTGTCACTTAAAGGGATACGTGATCAACTCATTTCTAGCACTCAATGATAAGTATTTGCCGAAAGGCAACCCCAAAGACAATGGCAGCCAACGCATCATCGCCAAGAATGAGCAGAAAGAGAAATTCTGTGATTTAGGTCTGAAATCACCATTTCAATGCAAAAAAAAAGAGCATAAAGGAAGACAGCAAAAAAATATGCTGTAAAACATGGTTTTAGAGTAAGAAAAGGAGAATGAAGATGGGATTCTGCCTCTGAATAGGGAAGCATCGTGGCCTAGTGGATAGAGTGTTGGAATCATAAAGACCTGGCTCCAGGCCTTGTGAATTGTGTGACCACGGACAAGTTATTGTCCAAACCTCAGTTTCCTCATCTGAAAAATGAAGATAATAGTTGTGTTTGATAGCTAAATCTTAGGATTGTTAGGAAGCTCAGATGAAATGATGTTTGTAAAAGGATTAGCAAACCTCAAAGCACTTGTATAAATGTCAGCTATTGTTATACAAACCTCTATATCCAGAACATTTTTCTTCAAGAAGAAAGCCAGGAGGTACTAAGATATGGTGAGCACCAAGTTACCTCACAAAAAGTGAAATTGATTTTCTTCTCATAGACAGGAATCAACTGGTTACCAATATGGGAGTCATTTCTGAATGAATGGTAGAGTCAAGTCCTTGGCTTGTTAGAAGAAAGATAAAAATCAACACCAAATTAGAAGAAAGAATGAGAAGATATGGCATATGATTGTACACAGCTCCAACTGGACCTATTTCCATAAGCTGTTGATGCCAAAAAATGGGAAATGGATTTTAAAACCCAGACATCAACACAGACTGTCACTGTTTCCTTAAGGAGGTTTAACCAATGTGAAGTCATTTGTCATAGTAAGGAGATTTATAGAGCCTAGAAACCACTTCAGTCAGCAAACATTTGATCTTGCCTAGCATAGAGAGAGAGATCATTCAAAGGCAATGAAAGTTGAGAATATAAACATTTCTAAATGCTTAAGGGAACGATGAGGAAGGAAGATTACGAGGAGTATCACTTCATGAAATACTTGAGAAGCAAAGGAGGGCAGAACAATAGTAAGGATCCAATTATGTGAGACCCTCCTCAGTGTTCTTCTAGGTGAAGCTGGAAGGGGGACAGTAAACAGATGACAAATGGAAAAGATTCTTAAATCGTAAGGAAGAAAATCTGCACACATATTAAGGGCATTCTTGAGAAAGGTATGAGACATTCATAAATGGCATTTTACAGCAGACTACATTTTTTAAAAGTGTCTCCCAGGTATATTTCTAAATTACACAGAATTCCTGGAGAGATATTAAGAGAGAGACTTTTGTGACCCCCTCGATTATTAATTTCTTATGAGGCATAAAACAGGAAGCCATTTACTCCTCAGTTTTCTGACCTTGTCTCAATGGACATCCTTCACAGAGTCTAAATTGGAGACAGATTCCATATAGATGATGGAGTTCTCCAGATTGACCTATTGGTAGGTCCCATTGTGCTGATCATATCAAACTCCAGAATGTTGCAGAACCTCCTATGATCACTCAGAAGAACTCAGCCAAACTATACATAGGGAAAAAAATCCAAGTAGATGAAGATTGTGTCTTGTCAATGCTTTATGGATAGATGGGTGGGCATTTAACATGTAGCCATCAGTATGTATATCTTAGATAGTTGTATGGAACACAGAAATCATGGAAGAATTCCAAGTTGTGGGTCATAGAGTTCAGTGGGAGGGCAGAGATTGTCTCATTTTTGTCTTTTTATGCCCATTGCTCAGTGCAGAGGGCCCTTGATAAATATTTGGTGATTAATTGAAAAGGCTGTAGCATATTTTGGATGAAGAAATACGTAGGAGACATAGTATAGAAAAAGATGCCATCAGAACAGTGTTGTAACCAGAAAAATAGTGGGCTAGTCACATGGTGAGGGCAGTGATGGATGGAATGATACTCCTAAAACATCAGATCTAGAAGAAGACCTCACTTACATTATACAGACTCTCTGTGAACAATTTATGGGAAGACGTGGTTAGATGAGGAGGGCATGAGAAGATACAGATAGGGTTGCATGGTGTGCCCTGGGGGACCTGCTAATGCAGAGGAGCTCACAAATCCATTTTAAATATCCAAGTATGTGCACCAGTCTTCTGAAATGATGGTAAATGTCCCAACATGTTAGATTTGTAGATCTTTCTTCTCAGGAGGTTCTCCCTTGGCAGGAGTTAAAAGCCTGAATTGGTGTTCATGGCCATATCACTCTGAAGGTGCTTGTAAAGAAGTCATCAGGTAGGACTGGGACAGGGGTAGGGCTCTGAGTTTCTGCCCAGGGTCCTTTCTTCACATGTAGTAACAGCATGGGGCAGCTAGGTGGTGCAGTGGATAGAGCACCGGTCCTGAAGTCAGGAGGACCTGAGTTCATATGCGGCCTCAGACCAAACACTTGACACTTACTAGCTGTGTGACCCTGGGCAAGTCACTTAACCCCAGTTGCCTAAAAAAACCACACACACACACACACAAAAACAACCATGTGGTAACAGCAGGGAGACCATTAAGAGACAGCTACCACCACAGGTCTGGGAGGAGAGTCAAGAGTAATAACAGTAGCTCACATAACGCTTCTTTTTTTCAACAAGCATTTATAAAGTATCTACTGTATGCTTTATAAAGCACTATGCTAGGAGCTAATGAAGCAAAGACAAAAAACAAAACAAAAAAAAACAGAAAGAAAGAAAAAGTCCCTGACCTTAAGGAATTTAATGTTCTATTGCCCAAAAAGTTTGGTTAAAAAAAAAAGTGTGTTTTTTGTTTTGTTTCGTTTTTGTCTTTGCCTCATTAGCTCCTAGCATAGCGAATGGACAGCTTGAACACAGGTAAATACAAAATAATTTCTGGGAGAGGTGCTAGCAAATAGCAGGAGGAAAAAGGCAGGGATCAGGATAAGCCTTCAGTAGGAGACAGTACTTGGGCTGAGCCTTGAAAGGAATTAGGGATTCAGGGAGGAAGAATGAGAGTATTCATTCATTCATTCATTCATTCATTCATTATCCTCTAGCCAATGAGAGAGACAGCCTATACAAGTCACATAGATGAGAGGTAGAATGTCATGTAGGAACAGGACACACTGGCCAGTCTGGTTGGAACACAGGGTTGACCAAGGCAACAAATATATATATGTAATGTGTCTGGAGAGGTTGGCTGGGAAAGTGTTGAATCCTGCTCCAGTCTGTTTCTTTACAGGGCGTGTGCACATCTGTGTGTGTGTGTGTGTGTGTGTGTGTGTGTGTGTGTATCCCCAGGTGCTTTGTTAATCTTGCCACTTCAGTCTCTTTCCCCCATTCTCTGCCCTGGTACAGAGCCACTGCTCTAATGAACTAATCCAAGGCATTTCTGTGCTTTTTCTCTTACCTCCTCTCTCCCCTTCTCTTTCCCTTTCGCTGTGGTGTGTCCAGAAAAGGAAGTCGAGTTCCAGCGTACACCTGATGGTGAGCCCGGCCTGCCCACCCATCTGCCCACCCCGTGCTGCCTGCCTGCCCACCCGCCCGCCAGCCATGCATACTCATTCTCATACCATGCACGTCTGCTTGTGCTCATTACCACCACATCTGTCACAGGCGGGCAGGTGTGGCTTGTCCTCCTGGGCGGGGGCCATCGCACAGGGACATTCTCACCTCCCTGCAGCCCCAATTGGCCTGGAAAGCGAGCACTGCAATGTGGTGTGGCACCCCCTGCCATGGGGGTTGGGCTGTCCCCTGCAGCCCTGGGCAGGAGGTGGCCTTGGTATGCAGAGGGTTGGTGCAGATCTCCAGGCACAGTGAGAGTTGCTGACTCTCTTTCGGGAAGTTTTTGTTTTTGTTTTTTTTATCCTAGCCAGTGACATAGGCAGCCCCTTTCTGAAATGGGATTCACAATATGGCAGCCTCCAGACACTCATCTGAGATTCCGGAGAACAGAGTTAGGCCCCCTGTTGTTCTCAGGTCTCTTGGCTTTTTGGCCTGGTGTGAATGCTTATTCTCCAGCCATAGCCAGGACTTGGTCTTTCCTGTCCCTCCCCAGTTGGATGAAGCCGGGTAGAGCCAGAAGCCTGTCCCTAGAATATACTTTTTCTTTGCATGGTATCCAGTGACACAAGGGCACCATGAATTTATGCAGATGCAGCCACTAAAATGAGAGGTCAGGGCACAAATCCCATTCCTCTTATTGTTTGCTCAGGATGGAGAAGATCAAGGGGAAGTTATTAATGCTGCTCCCTAGCCCTAAAGGAATGATGACTTGCTATTCGCTGCAGTGGGCATTGCCCTTAACCCACCTCTACAGGGAGAATTTTGTGAAGGGTACAGAGGTGAGGGGACCGGCTGTCCCAAGAACCTTCGAATAGCTAGAAGGATTTCAGCTCCGGCAGCCAGACTGAGATAACTTTGTTCTCTGCTGCCTGCAGGTAGGAGTAGCTGTGGAGCAGGGATTGTCATGAACCAGAGGTTCAAGATCCCTGATATTTCCTCTGAGATCTCATCCTTCTCCCTTCACACAGTCTCTTATTTCTGTGACTCCCTAGTGACAGTTGGTACCAAAGTGCCATCCTTTACCTTGAACTTGGGATTGAAAGCCACCTAAGGGTAGAATTCAGGTTCAAATCCAGTCTTTGCCACGTATTACCTGTATGGCCTTGGGTCACTGAACTTCTGTGGGCCTCAGTTTCCTCCTCTGTAAGGGTGTTAGGTAAGATGACCTTCTAGGTCCCTTCCATCTCTAAATCTGTGATTTCAAGTCAACCTGTGGTTGGCGGAGGAAGTTCCTGCTGTTAGAGTTCCCTGTGTTGACAAAATCATTGATCGTTACATGTTCCTATAATATTCCTCTGTTGACTTTGGTTCTGGTATAAGGGACCTCATAGAGAGGCCCAAGGGCAGAAGAGAAAGGCAGTTACTTGGTCCCTCCAAGTATAATTAGAGAAAACTGTGTGAGTGTGGGAGGTGTGGTTGTAGATACCTACTTCCCACTAACCACCAAGTATCTGGCATCAAGGATTCTCCTTCATTTCTAGCCTTGTCCTGTGCTGAGACTGGAAGCCTGTTGAGGCATATGGTTGCCCAGGGATTGAGGCTGCTGTCTCATGGACTGTCAACAGTATTGAGAAATGCCTGGCTGTGACTGTCCTCTGGGCTCTAAGTTCGGGCAGTCATGGGAAAGGGAGATTAGACCATCACTTCCCACTGTAGAATTGGTCATAGTCTTGTTGAAAGACAGGTGTCCATCTTTGGCCCATGGAGATGCAACATGGGATAGATATCTTCCTGTTAAGACACTTCCTATTTGCCATGTGGCGGATGGAGCTGCAACTTTGTGGCTAGGGAAAGTCATAATTACAGTATTCAGCTGTCCTCACTACTGGCCATACAAGTCAGCCTATCTGCACTCACCTGCCATCACCCTGGAATTCTGCTTGCAGAATGTAGCTAGCTATTCCTGGTAGTTACCTTTCATTCCCAGCAGCCTTGCTTGTTCTAGCATTTACCAAGCAGAGAGTGGAACAGTATGGCCCTATCTTGTCACTCTTGAGTCAACAGACAGGCTTTGAACCTAGGACCCTAGGACAAGAATTGGCAACCATGAGTGAAGCCCGGGCCCAGAGGCATACTTCTGCATCTGGGTTTGTCTCTCTCCTGTTGCAGGAACAGCAGACCTCAAAATCTGTATCTTTTCCATTGAGCTTTATTCTGTGATGTTGTAAGGTGACTAATTTAGCTATCAGGAGGAAAAAGGGAAATGGGCCCCAAAACAGCGCTCAGGTTCTGGTCATGGTTTTATCCCTTTGTGACCCGGAATAAAAAGCCTTCTTAGCCTCTGTGAAATGAGAAGAGGCCTGCGTTTCTTTGATGTGTGAGAAGAGCCAGTACCTGGTAGCAGCAGGAGATGCCAGAGAGGAGCTTGAAGTGCAGACTGTAGGCTGCTTATTCCCAGATTCCCTCGGCCCTGGGAACCTAGATGGCCCCCAGCCTCTTGTCTGCTCCTCTCACCCATCTCCACAGCCATCGCTCCCGTGTACACAGTAGTGTGGAGGCTGCCTCAGGCCCAGCTCCGGTGGGGCCGGGATGAAGGGTGAAGGGGGGGCTGGGACGAGAACCTGGGCTGCTCGGTTAACTCTGGGGGGACTAAACCATCTGTTTTCTTGTCTCAACTGCAGAGCAACAACAAAAACAGTCTCGTAAGCCCAGTCCAAGAGCCTGCGCCATTGCAGACGGCCATGGTACCTCCTGACTCCGGCTTCTCCACCTCCACCCGCCTCTGCCTCCCTCCCTCCCCTCCTGCCTCTCCCACGGGGGCTGCCTCTCCTCTTGCCTCTCCTCTCTTGGCTTTTTCATCCCCCCATAGAGCAAGCAGCTTCTTGCACCATCACGCCCCTTCCCTTTCATGGGCTGCCTCTGACCCCGCTTGGCCTTCATCCCCGCTCTGTGATCCCATCACGGCTGCCGCTTCCCAACCCCTCCGCCACTGCCGCCGCTGCTGCTGCTCTTGGGGAGGGGAGATGGAGGTGAAGCTATATCCCCCTTCACAGGAGGGCCAGGGCCGTGAGGGGGCCTGCTGTTGGGGTGGGATAGGATGTTGGCATGGCTAAAGACACTGAAGAGTCTGAGCTGATCTTGGTCTCTGAGTGATGGAGCCAGCCAGGCTCAGGGCTCCCTGGAAAGGAAGGCTAGGCGGGCAGCTAGGTGGCGCAGTGGATAGAGCTCCAGCCTTGGAGTCAGAAGGACCTGAGTTCAAATCCGGCCTCAGACACTTGACACTTACTAGCTGTGTGACCTTGGGCAAGTCACTTAACCCCGATTGCCTAGCAAAAACCAAACCAAAAAAAAAAAAAGAAAGAAAGAAAGGAAGGCTAGGTCCCGTCAGCCTGGTGTGGGAAGAGTGCTGACTGTGGAGTTAAGAGGACTTGGTTTCAAATCCCAGCTCTGCCACTTACAGCGGCTACTGCTAAAGGCCAGCCCTGATGGTTTGGGAGGCACTTTGGATATGTTTTCTCATTTGATCCTCACAGCAACCCAGTGAGAGAGGGGTGTGAATGTCTATACTCATTTTACAGATGAGCAAATGGAGACTAAGAAGTTAAATGACTTGCCCAAGGTCATACAGCTAAGTGTCTGGGGTCAGATTTGAATTTGGGTCTTCAGCACTCACCTGGTACGTTGCTGCCTGTGTGACTTGGGTAGATCACTTACTCTCACTGGTTCTCAGTCTTTCCATCTGTAAAAATGAGGGGTCAGACTAGTTGACTCCTAAAGGTCCTTCCAGCTGTGGATCTATGATGGCGGCTTACGTGAGTTCCTAGGGAACCCCCACCCAGCAGAACTCCTGTTCCTTCACATCTCTTTCCAAAGGGATAACTGTGCTGTCATGGCTAGTGATGGCAGCCAGGTTGTAGCAGGCCCTCTCTCCTCCTGCTCTGGTCCTCTGACAAGACAAGTTTTGGGAGGAGCCAGAAGGTGAAAGCAACAGAGGGCTTCCCAGGCATCCTTTAGCAGGGGGCAGAGACCTCTCTTCCTCTGGCCTCCTATTTCAACTCTCTCCTCTTCCCAGTGTAGGGTAGTTGAAAGAACATTGCATTTGGAATCGGGGACATGAGTTTGAAGGCTCCGCCCATTTACCTACCAGTAGTACCTCGGGCAGAGAGGTCTCTTGACCTCTCTGGCCCCTGACCTCTTTATTTGTGGGTCTAGAGATGACCTTTGAGGTCCTATGAGCCTCTGGTCTCTGTCTCCTCAGTATTCCTTAGTGAGCTTAGCTGACCGTCCCTAGCTATGACTCCAGCTTCATGGTGCCCACTTCCCATTGGTTTCTTAAGATCGAGTGTCTTTCAAGGAGAAAAAAAAAGAAGTGAAATGGAAAAATCAAGACAGAACGTCTCATCCCCACCATGTCTCTTTTGTATATACGGAGAGGAAGCATGGTACAATGGATATAGCATTGGACTTAGTGTCAGGAAAACCTTGGATCCAAAGCCAGCCTCAGAAACCTACTAGCTGTGACCCTGGGCAAGTCACAGCTTCTCTGGGTCTCAGTTTCCTCATTTGTAGAATGAGGCAGGTGACCTTAATGATCTCTGAGGTCCCTTCCAGCTCCCAATCCTATCATCTTATGACCTCTCAACTCCCCTTAGCTCTCCAGAGTTAGGCACCAGTATCTGGTCCTATCTGAAAACCCAGGATTTCCCAGGCTCCCCTGGGCAACCCAATTTGGCCAGGGTCCTTCAGCTGAGGTTGAATTGGAGGGCTTGGTCCTTTGGGATTGGTTTCCTGCCAGGCAACTACCACAGTGCCCCTAGGGGAACTGGAGAGAGCCCCTCTGGGAAGAGCTGCAGCCCTACCTCAAGACAGGAGGGCAACTCCCCTCTTCTCCTCTCACAGGAACCCCAAACCACCGTGGTACACAATGCAACAGACGGGATCAAGGTGAGTGTGGTCCCTGGCCCTGCCTGCCTCCTTTTCAGCCTGGGGTCAGTACAGGACCAGTGGGGAAGAGGGATCAAGGTTAGGTAATTTCCCTGGGTCCTGTACCCTAAGGGATGCTGAGGGTTTATTTCCCTCGTTCCCTTCCAGCAGGCACCTAGGCTGAAATGGAGATAGCCAGCCTGGGTTTTTTGGCTGTATGTCCTGGAGGAGCCGTCCTTTGTCCTCAGAAAGGAGTGTCTTTGTGCTCTGATTACTCTTTGGCCGTCTCCATTGTGTCTCAGGTGGGCAAGGAGAGAGTTTTATAGGAGGGCTCAAGGAGTCATTGCTTGCTCCTGTTTTCCTTGGAGCTGCCTCTCATTCCCTTCTTTCTGCTCCTCCTAGCTTTGGAGGGTGAAATGGGCAGTAACGTGCTCTTTTTGTCTGGCAGGGCTCCACAGAAAGCTGTAACACCACCACTGAAGATGAAGATCTCAAAGGTAAGATTATGCAGGAGAGGGAATCTTTTCTATAGCTAACTTTGCAAGGGAAAGTAGGGACCCCTTCAGCCTCCTTGTAGCAGGGTCTTGGGGTAGGGGGAGGAAAGGGGTCCAGCTGGGTTGAACAAGAGCCTTTTCTTACCTTCGTCCCCAGCGTGAGGGAGTTTTTTCTGAGCTTGTCTAATTGCCAGACTTTTGTTGATGACAAGCCTCAGGAAATAGTGCCCGGGTGTGGCGGGGACCCGATCTTCTAGAAACATGGGCACTGTTGGTCCTTGGGAGTGTCAAAGTCGCATGTGAACTTGCCCTTCTCTATCACAAAGCCAAGGAGGTCTGAAAATGGTCATTAGAGCAATTAAAAAGAATGAGGGAAAGATCTGGTTTTAAAAAAATACACGTGGAGGAATCATGGGTCTCAAGCCACCCCTTCCTCCAAGAGACTCCAAAGCTAGAATCCCAGGTCTCATTTCAGCCGGAGTAGAGGAAATGTGATGGAGCTAACTGCAAAAGCATATGGGTTCCTGACCCCTGGGGTTCTTGTTTCTTTCATCTGTTCCCTCCTCACCATCCCTCCACTCCAGGCCAAACCTGAGGGACATTGGCAGGGCTGGGAGCTCACCAAATTTAGTACCTACCAGTGGCCAATAAAGGGGATAGAACTTAGAAGCCCACCATAGAAATCAGAAATGTTGCATGAAATAAAGAGTACTTCCAGGTCACGGGAGGGCTAGGATGGAGGAAGTATAAATGGTACCCAAAGTATGCTGGTAGATGGAAGAAGCTGGCACTGGATGTCGCTACCCAGCTCCAAGAGCTGGTACTCTCCTCCTGAGAGCCAGTGTGTCCCATGTTCAGTGACAGGACTGAGCACGTCCCAGCTCTAAGGTCTTCATAGTTATGGTCACAAAGGTTCTCTAAGCTAAAGATACAGTCCTTGGCCTCTCTACATGCCAGGATCCTCCACTTTTCTCAGATTGGGAAGCCTCAGGGCAGAGGCAGTGGCTTGGGATGCGGGCCAGTGCCCAGCGGCGGCCTGAGGCTTCACTGTGGCCCCAGCTCTCCAGTAGCATGGGCCTGGGGGTTCCCGTCTGGCTTGCGTGTTCACCTGCCTTGTTCTGTCTGTTTTGGCCACCCTCCCCTGCTCGGCTAGCTGCCCAGCTCCGCACTGGGGATCGCAGCAGCTTGGGGTCTGATGGACGGAGCCCCCGGGACAGAACAGCCCCCTCAGCAGGCATGCAGCCCCAGCCTTCTCTCTGCTCCTCAGCCAGTAAGTTGGAAGGAGGCACGGCTCCCCATCCCCTCCAGAGTCGCCCGGCTCCCCTTGCACTGAAGCTGTCTCTGGCAACACCACCAACAGGAGCCAGGCCAGTGGTGCCGCCACATCTTAGCCAGGTTCTGGAGCACAGCCTCTGCCCTGGGGGTGGGGTTCTAGGTTGGGGGAAGATATGTGGAGGCAGTGGTGTGATCAGAGAAAGGCAAGTAGGGAAATTGCCCCTAGAGCCTAAGAAAGGATCATGGAGGTGCACAGTGTAGGAAGAACAAAACAAAAGCAGCAGAAATCACCATGTTTTGGCCATGGGCCAGGCCAATGGGAGGGGAGACAGATGGCTCTGTCACCAGCAGGATGGTGGTTACTAGTGGGATTTTGTGTCACCAGAGAAGTGGTGAAGCTGTGGGGAGGCCTTGCACAGTCCAGCTGGTCTTCCCAGAAGGGCTTTCCCCCCATTGCCAGTTATACTTTGATTTAGAGGCCACCCCCCTTTTCTCCTCCTTCTCTTGCACCATCCATCATCCTGAGCCTCTGGGAGCTAGCCAGACCCGCTGAGCAGATGATGTCGTGGGAAGAGAGGTCTTGATCGGTTTGGGTGGGGATGGGAGGTGCGTGTGTCTCAGCGCCCTTGCACGTGTGTCTTTTTGGAAGGCTGATGGCACTCCCGATTGCTGCCTGCCCAGTTGTGACTGTTGGCTGTGCCCCCACTTCCTCCCCACCCAGTCTGTCTGTGATGTTTTGGCTGTGCCCCGCCCCCATTGGCTGTGTTTTTGGTTTTTGGCTGTGCTGCGCCCCTGCCCCCTCCACACCGGGCTGCAGCGGGATGCTTTTCTAATGCTTGCATTTGTCTTGCAGCCGCTCGCTCCTGTGAGGAAAGGCTTATGGCCTGGGACGGGCCAGGGCTCCCATCAGGGTTAGCACGTGCTCAATCCGAGCCCTCCCTCACTCTTGTGGTGCCTTTCGCTCATAGTGGCGCTCCGTGTAAGTGAGCTGCCCCGGGAGTGTAGGATGCTCCCCTCAGCCCCTCGGCTTCTGGGACCTCCCTGGGCCGCAGCCCTGCCTGCCTGCCTTCCTGCCTGCCATCCAGAGCTCAGTCTTGGCCCCCCTGGGACTCAGCCTGGTTTGCTAGCTGGTGGGAGCTTTGGAGCAGGTCGAGGCTCTCTTTCTGTTTCTCTGGTGTGGGGCTATCAGGGGCCCTGGCGTGGGGCTATCAGGGGCCCTGGCTTCTCTTTCCAGCTAACACAGGCAAACCCTTCACCCCTTTGTACCTCTGGAGAGAATGGGGGCTGGCCGTTCTTTCTCCATTGTGCCGCAAGCATCTCCCGTTCCTGCCTGGTCCTTTTGAAATCCTTATTGCCAGGGGGGCTTGGTTCCCCTGGCCTAGGGGACCAGAGCCATGTGGAGCTATTTTAGGGATGATTGAGTACCTTGAAGTGAGGGGAGATTGTGAGAGTTGGGGGAGGTCCTTTTTGGGGTGGCTTCACTTAGCCAGGATGGGATATTAAGCCTGTGAAGACTATTGGTGATGCATCCGATGTCCCAGTGGGACAATGGAATCTTTTCCCCATCTATCTCCTGGGTGTTTGCTTTGGTTTGGCTCTTGTGATAGGAGCAGGGCAAAAGCCAGAGACCCATACCGCCCAATCAACTGTCCTGGGTGGGGGAAGCTCAGTGGGAGCGGGAGGGTCCTTTTCTCTGCAGATGGTTAGGGTAAGGAATGATGGGAAAGGTCTGCTCTGTGGTGAGCCCTAAAGATAGAGGGGAGAGAAGATAATTACTTGGAGTCAGAGGCTCTATGAAGGAGTGGGGAGGGCTTTCCTGGGGTTCTCCCCAACCCCACGCAGGTGAATTGCAGGGCTTTTCTCCCACAGTTCGAAAACAAGAGATCATTAAGATCACGGAGCAGCTGATTGAAGCCATCAACAATGGGGATTTTGATGCCTACACGTGAGTAAAAGTACATGCTCTTGCATGGCTGACTTCCCAGAAGGAGGTGCCCATCTGACCTCAAGGTGTCTTGTCCTAGAAAGTAAATGAGGTTCCTCTGGGGCCTCAGAGGACCAGAGCACTAGAGCAGTAAGTCTCAGCCTCTTGGGCTGTCTACATAGTATAGCGTTGCCCAGTGGAGCAACTCTGGAGGTCTTAGAGCTTCCTGGTGGGTGGGGTCCCAGGGAAAGCCTGGGATTGATAGGCCAAATAACAAGGGTATTGAGTACCCCAGGATTAGGTTGTGGCCCAGTATTTACATATATATCATCAGTACTGTTACTCTTGGCTAGTTTGGGGCTGCTAAGGAGGGAGGAATGTCAAGAGGTCCCTGAAAATCTTGATTTGACTGGCTGTCCTCTACAGGAAGATCTGTGATCCAGGCCTCACCTCCTTCGAGCCTGAGGCACTCGGCAACCTGGTGGAGGGGATGGACTTCCATAAATTTTACTTTGAGAATCGTGAGTGGGTTCGTGCTGCTGAGATCCTCCCACCTGCCTCCTGTCACTTCTTTCTTCCTCCATCTAACTCCCATCCCCATCCCTCCCAACCCCCCCCACTTGCCTTGTCTTCCCCTTTTACCCTCTGCTTATCCCAACCTCTTGCTTTTCTATCTCCATTCTTCCCCAAAGACTGCTGTAATCTTGTCAGGAAGGTAGTGCCGCCTTCAAGGCCAAGACCTCTATTGCCAGCAGTCGAGTGTTGCTACATGACACACCTGGGTTGATCTCACCAAATAAGTAAACTAGTAACTGTGGCTAAAAGCTTCATAATAGGGCAACTTAAAATCAGGGTGAGCATGCAAGTTGTGGGACAATTACCACAGCTGAGGGGGTTAATTTACAGCCAGGATTTACAGCCTTGTTTGGTATGTGGGGAAATGCATCTGGCTGTGTAGGAATTCCAAATACTGAGGTAGAAAGCAGTGAAGGCATTGGATTTCAAGCCCTTAAATACTTCTTCGATGGATCTGTGATCAGTTCAGACTGGTTACCTAACCATACCCATTCAGGCCTCACATAAATCCTCCACGACCTATCTATCTGAAGCACTTGAGAGGCATTCCTCTAGAGTAGCTCTTCTCAAACTTTTTGGTCTCAGGGCTCTTAAAATATGAAGGATCCTCCCCTGCACCCTGCTCGTGCAAAAAGCTTTTCTTTATGTGGGGTCTATCTATTGATATTTGCCATATTTTAAATTAAAATGTCTTTGTATTATTATGAAAATAATTTTGACCTTGCAGACCCCCTGAAAGGGTCTCGGGGACCCTAGATCAGCCTTTGAGAACGTTGCTCTGAAGTGGCAGTTGTTATGCTCTGTGCCATGGACCTCTCTGGTGGTCAGTCTGGTGAGGTTTATGGACCCCCTGTTTCTAAGAAGAATGTTTTTAAATGCTTAAAATTAAATACACAGGATGACAAGCCAATTGTATTGAAATGAAGATGGACCTTTTTTCCATCCAAGTTTACAGGCCCGCTTAAAATCTATCGACGTCGTAGACCCCTTTGTGGGGGTTCATGGGCCTTAGATTGAGAGCCCCCCCTTTAGAGTTCTTGACTGTGTGGAAGCCAGTGAACGTACAAAGGCTGTCCAACCCTGATTCCTCATTCTTATTATATGATTGGCCCTCTTCTGCAAGAAGATTCCTAGATCTTCCCCTCATTGAAGCCAGAGACCCATCTCTCCCTTTAGTCATAAATTTGTCTGGTGACATCCCTGACGCCACTTCTTCCAGTCCATTTGTAAGGTGTTAGAGGCTACTCGTACTTACCGTGTACCTGTCTACTGTCCTTTGGGTGACCCTTCATTTGAATTCTTTGGAGAAGGCATTTGAGGATTCCGTGGCATTCCAGGGCTAGACGCCCGTTTCCCTGCCCCATTCCTGATACAAACACTTTCTCTCTCCCTCCCGCCTTCTCAGCCCAGCCCTGCTCTGATGCCATCACTCATCCATCTCCATATCAGTTTCCATCCCTGTCCCCAGTATTCCAGCTGTGCAAAGGTAAAACCCTGGATTATCTAAAATGCTTTTGACTAAGGCATGAAGTCTTGAGCTCTAAGAAGTCTTGTGTATTCTCATCGTTATATTTTAACCAAAATTAGATTTGTCCCTCAATAAAACACAAGCCTGATTGGCTCAAAGCAACATTTTACTTGATGTTAACATGATGAGATCTGTCCACCTAGCTCCCTTTGCCTTTCTCCCAAAGGATCCTGTGAGCCCTGGGAACTTCCTGGATCATGGCTTTTTTAACTGTCTTATTTCCTGTCACAAGTGGGTTTTTTCAGATTCCAAGTTAGTGGTTTTGTTACATTCAGATAAAGGGGGTTGATGAGATGATAGTGTTATCACAGACTAAGCTGTGGCAACAGCTGTTGATGGAGATAGTGAGCCCCCCAAACTTTCAGAGAAGTGTTGGGGTGCTGGCGCTGGACTGCAAGGCAGGAGGGGATGCTAGGTCAGTCCTGAATAGCAAGCCTAACACCTGTTCCTCCCTACAGTACTGTCTAAGAACAGCAAGCCCATCCACACTACCATCCTGAACCCTCACGTGCATGTCATTGGCGAAGACGCTGCCTGTATCGCTTACATACGCCTCACCCAGTACATCGATGGCCAGGGCCGGCCTCGGACCAGCCAGTCTGAGGAGACCAGGGTCTGGCATCGCCGTGATGGCAAATGGCTCAACGTGCACTACCACTGCTCGGGGGCCCCTGCTGCCCCGCTGCAGTGAGCTCTCCCACAGGTGAGCTCTGGGTGCCGGAAGTCAGGGTGGGCATTTGGGACAGGAAAGTTATACCATCCTCTCTAGGACCTTTCTCTAGCCACAGGCTTAGTCAATTCAACTGATTGAGGATTTATTAAACGCCTCCTATGCTAGGAATATGAACAAAACAGAAGCACGGTGCCTGTGCTTGAGAAGCTTATGTTCTAACAGGGGAAGGGTAGAGGAGAAAGCTCTGTGTTTCCCAGCCCAGCTGTAGGCCCATCTCCCTGGCCACCCTGGGAATGGCAGGTTTGCTTACAGGTACAAAGGGGTCAGAAGTTCCTCTCATTTACCCTAATCCTTCACTCCCATGGCCTGCTGCTATGTTCTTTCCAGCAGTGCTGTTAAGAAATTCCCAGCCAGAGGTCAAACCTTCGCAGCCAGCGGCTCTGGAGGGCCTGAGTGACAGCGGCAGTCATGTTCGTTTGAGGTTTAAAAACAATTAAAATTACAAAGCGGCAGCAATCAATGCACGCCCCTGCATGCAGCCCGCCCGCCCGTCCATCGTGTCTGTCTCTGCTGTACCGAGGTGTTTTTTACATTTAAAAAAAAAAAGAAAAAAGAAAAAAAGATTGTTTAAAAAAAAAAAAGGAATCCATACCGCTGATCATGTTTTAAAACCACCTGCAGCCCCCCGGGCTGGCAAGAGGGCGCAAGTTTGAGCAGCGGGCTCGTCTACCTGGCAGCGTGTGAGCCTGGGTTCACAACCCCCACAGACTCTGGCGGGGCCAGGCAGGAACTCTTTACACTGACCCTGCTGGAGGCCACAAAAGCAGCTTGGGCAGGGTCACCTGGATCTCTGCAGCCCCTGAGGCGGCTTGCCCAGCCTTGGGTCCTGGGAATGGACTTCTTCAGAGTCTGCACATGAGCCCGGGAGGAGGGCCAAAGCAGCAACAGGTCATGAGATGGCTAATGCTTGGAGCTTAATTTTCCCTTCCCTGGGGGAAAGATGGCCTTATCCCTAGGCAACTACCCAGTGCAAAGGCAGCACCGAAAAGCAGTGGCTCCAAGATGGAGGGCTCGTGGGTAGGGTTCTACTGTACTGTTCCACTTAGTGTAGATGGGAGACTTGGTGCTGCAGAAATTTGTCCATTAGGAAGCAGGCAGAAACCTGGTGTTAGTCTGACATGTACGTCCCTCATCCACCCATTTCTATAGGACGCACAGCCAAGCATGGGTCTAGGTACCAAGGCCTGGGCCCCCAGCTGGGAAGGGGTAGGGGCTGCCGCCTTGTTTGTTCTAGTGTGACTTGGCCAGGATGGAGCCCAGAGCCTGCCACTCCCCCGCAGCCTTGGGCAGTTGTGTTTCTGTGCTGATTTCAGTTGTCTTTGTCTTGCTTTTTTTCCACGGTGATGGCCCCAATTCCAAACCCCATCTGGGCCTGGGGCCACTACGGAGTGCCCTAGTGGGAATGGGAGAAGTGGGACTGTCCATCTCATTTTCTCTCCAGAGTTGGCTTGTCTAACTCTTGCCTAGGTGTCCCTGTTTCAAGACGCCTCTCTACTGACCAACAGAGGCTCAGAATTGCTGCTGGAGAGTCTTGCATGGGCCTTCACCTTCCTCTACCCTGCATGCACCCCAAAAAAGGAGGTGCCCAGGGCCACGGCTCCCCTTAAATCAATTTTCCTTCCTGTTCCCAGGGGGTTCTACTGCCACAAGGGAGGGAAGGCAGAACGAAGGAAAGGTGCTTGAGGACAAATTCGTCATATGCCAGGGTCCTCTGCACAAATACCTACCTACCTGTACCTTTCCAGGGAAGGTGGGCAGGCCTGAAGTCCCTGGAGTGCCTTCAGAGTATGAAGCTATAGTGAGAAGGGGCAGGAGAGGAGCCAAAAGCCCCCAAAGGGCAGGTGTGAGCGCTTCGGTTGGGTTTGGTCAGACTCAGTGGAACACGTGTGCATGCCCACCCTCTGGGCCCCAGGCCCCCTTTCCTTTCCTGTATTCTGCATTTGCCAGCACGCAGACTACTTCACAACACGGTTTGGTTTTGCAGTCTTTGGAGACAAATGGTCTTTGAAACCCATAGCTTGGTATCGGCTGCTCAAGCCCCACCTCTCTCCTTAGCATTCTTACTCTCCTCTCCTGGGGCTAACGTCAGCATCTATAGAATTTAGATTATTAAAAAAAAATCACCTTTTAAACAGGAAATGGAAGGCATTTGATGCAGAATTTTTGCATGATGACATAGAAATAATTTAAAAAGTAGCTAGTGTTTGTTCTGAATGTTGGTAGACCCTTCATAGCTTTGTTACAACGAAACCTTGAACTGAAGATATTTAATAAAATAACATTTAAACAGTCCACGGTGTTGTTGATGTTGGGGATTCATAGCTGAAGAGAGACAGACACGCACACCCACACTCACACACCCACCCCTGTTTGGGTCCATGGAAACACGTGGGGGAAGGCTAGGCTGAGAACTTCAGGTGGGGAGGAGGGGGCGTCTACAGGACTAGCCAACCTCGGAGGTGGTTGTATCTCACACTGATAAAGCTTCGGGCCCGTTACAAGAGGCCACTTCCAGAGGACCGGTGGCTGCTGGGCGCTCAAAATGTCCAAAACGGCCCCGACTGTGCCAAACCCTTCCCTTCCCCTGCGGGGTCTCGACCGCTATTCAGCACGCCCGGGCGTCCCCCGCGAACCGCCATGGGATCGTCTGCCCCGCCCTCTCCCGCCCCCACCCCCGCTCTTTCCAGCACAGTGGATCGGTCCACACCCCGCTCACCAGGATTGGGCCGAGCAGCCTCCCCTCCCCGCGCTGCTTCCCCTCCGCGGGCCTTGACGTCCGACGCTTCGCCCGGACTCTTCCACTCTCCCAGAGGGATGGGGGAGGATTGCCCCCGGGCCTAGGGAGGAGTCAAGCATTCAGGTACAGCGGGGTGAGAAAGAGCAAACTTACTCCTCTCGGAGACAGGGAGAGGTGCGACGGAACACCTCGGAGTCCACTGGCGAGTCGGGAGCCACGAGCAGCAAGGCTCGCCCCCTCTGCTCCCCTAGGAAGCCGTGGTTCGGCCCGCCTGCGGAGGAGCGATCGCGGGGAGATGGCGGAGCCGCCGCGGCGGGGCCCGGATCCCAGAGAGGTGGGCGCCCGGGGAGCCCGGGGACACGGTGGAACCCCGCGACCGCAGAGACAGCGCCCCGCCCGCCGGGTGAGCAGCGCCCCCCGCGACGTAGCATCCTCGGCCCGCCCCCCGCAGGATCGCGCCCCTCTGTGGGCTGCCGCCCGGGGACACCCTCCCAACCCAGTTGCCCCCCTCCGTGTCCCCCCGACCCAGTGTCCCCTCAGTATTCCCCCATATTCCCTCATCCAGTGTCCTCCCACCCACTGTCACCTCACTTTGTGTCCCCCCTTTTCTGGTGTGCCCTGACCAGATAACCCCAGAGCCTCCTCCCTAGGCCGGCTCATGTTCTCTCTCTGGCCCCCTCCCCAGCGTCTCCCCCCAAAGCCTGCTCAGTCCTCATGCTGTCACCCCAAGTGACTCCTTGGCCCCCCCCAACCCTGAGCTCCCCCATTCTTGGACCCTTCCTGCGTCCCATGTGACCTGCGGTCTCAGCCTGGACCCCTGCCTTCTGCACCTGCCCCGCTCCCCACGTGTGCGGGTCTTTGCCTCTGCTCAGTGGCCCCTCTAGACATCGCCCACTCCCAGACTTTCTCCGCGCTTTGGCTGGGCCAGGAAGCCAGACTTTGGTCAAGGAGGCCGATGGCCTTCCCTGGGGTGCCCTTGAAGCCCTCCTGAGATTGGGGTGCAGCCCCCACCCGGGCCAGGGGAGTGCAGGGAGCTGTACCTCGCACTCAGACCTCTGGATTCTCCTAGGTTCCTCTCGTGTGAGCTGCTCTGAGGCCACACTGCTCTTCGCTCCTGCCACCGAGTTGTAAAGGTGAGAGGGGACACAAGGGGATGGGATGTGGAGACCCCCTTCCCCACCCCCAACAGTGTCCACCTTACCCAAAGTTCAAACTTCACTGATGACCGTTAAGCTGTGGCATCCGCTGTTGGCCACGTGGATAATGCCCTGCGATAAGAGATGTCGATAAGGGGAGGTGCCTCTTATCTGATTCCAGGCTGCTTCCTGGGCATCCCCTCCCCTCCCCTCCCAGTCATGAAACCGGAGCTCCTGCTGACTGTCCACTGCTGGGCCAGGGGCTCTCAGCCTGAGCCCGCACCCACGAGTCCTTCCCTCCCCCGACCGAGGCTCTGAGCTGAGTGGACGGCGCCCAGGGGCCGCCGGGGCAGGGACCTCCCTCTGTCCTTCTCTTCGCACAGAAGCAAAGCAGGAGGTGAGATGGGGCCAGGCCGAGTACGGGCAAGGGGAGTCCAGGGCTAGCACTTCCCTTCTCTGTCCTTTAGCTAACAGGGCCAGAGCTGTGGAACTTGTGCTGCCCTGGATGCGCCTGCACGGAGCATTGGCAAGCCTGGCAGCCCGGAGCCATGGGCCAGAGGCCATGGTGACGTGAGGACCATGGAGCATGCCCGGGCTCCCCCTGCGTCTTCCATCGCCGCACGAAGGGAGCTCTTCTCTACCTCTTCACACCTCCAGGGAGTTGATCTCGGCTTCCTCTTCCTCTCTCCTGTCTCACCCCCTTCCCTGCCAGCTCAAGGGCATCTTCCTCTCCCTCCCCAAGAACCTTAGTGCCCTCCTTCCCCCTCCCTCCCTCCCACGCCATGCTCCAGCTGTGGAGAGTGGTACGTCCAGCCCGGCAGCTGGAACTGCATCGTCTGGTGCTGCTGCTGATTGCCTTCAGCCTGGCCTCCATGGCCTTCCTGGCCTACTACGTGTCTACCACCCCCAAGGCCAAGGAGCCCCTGCCCCTGCCCCTGGGAGACTGCAGCAGTGGTGGGGATGTTGGTCCTGGGCCTGCCCGGCCCCCAGCGCACCCCTGGCCGCCCCGGCCCTCGGAAACAGCTCGCACTGAGCCTGTGGTGCTGGTGTTTGTGGAAAGTGTATACTCACAGCTTGGCCAGGAAATTGTGGCCATCTTGGAATCTGGCCGTTTTCGATACAGCACAGAGTTGGCCCCTGGCCGGGGGGATATGCCCACGTTGACTGAACGTGCCAGGGGCCGCTATGCCCTCGTTGTCTACGAGAACCTACTTAAGTATGTCAACCTGGATGCCTGGAGCCGCGAGCTCTTGGACCGATACTGTGTGGAGTACGGGGTGGGCATCATCGGCTTCTTCCGTGCCCATGAGCACAGCCTGCTCAGTGCCCAGCTCAAGGGCTTCCCTCTCTTTCTACATTCCAACCTGGGGCTACGCGACTATCAGGTGAACCCCGCCGCCCCGCTGCTGCACCTCACTCGGCCCAGTCGTTTGGAGCCTGGGCCGCTGCCTGGGGAGGACTGGACGGTCTTCCAGTCCAACCACAGCACATATGAGCCAGTCCTGCTGGCCGAGGTCACTGCCTTGGGCCCGGCGCCCCGCCATACCCGCCTGCCCACCGTGGTGCAGGACCTGGGGCTGCATGACGGCATCCAGCGTGTGCTTTTTGGCCACAGCCTCACCTTCTGGCTTCACAAGCTAGTCTTTGTGGATGCTGTGGCCTACCTCACTGGGAAGCGCCTCTGCCTTACACTGGATCGCTATATCCTGGTGGACATCGATGACATCTTTGTGGGCAAGGAAGGCACCCGAATGAAGGTGGCTGATGTGGAGGTCAGTTCCCTTCCCCATTCCCTCCCACGCCGTTACTTTCACCGACCCATCAACCCAAAGTTTGCAGAAAGTGTTCACTGCCTGCTCTTCCCAGGCCCAGGCAGGAGCCCTTTATTCTTCCTGCAAGCCCTCCTGAGCCTTTTCTCATTTGCCTCTGCTAGGCCTTGCTTACCACACAGAGAAAGCTCAGGGCTTTGGTCCCCAACTTTACTTTCAATCTGGGCTTCTCGGGAAAGTTCTACCATACAGGTGAGTTACGTTCTCCCGACTCTCCAAGGCACGCGCCAGCCTGGCCTCATTTTCCCCTCCCTGCCCTTCCTTCCTAGTGTCTCGGTGCACATTTGAGGACTGGCGATTAATGTTAATGCTCAGGGCCAAACAGAGAGCAAGAGTTGATAGGAAATTCAACTTCATGGTCAGTCAGTAAACATATTAAGTGCCTACCGTGTGCTGATCAGCAAATACTGTTCTGGGAATGAAGAATGTGGGGAATGTAATAGGTCATGGTTAGTAGATGGTCAGTATTCATGATCATATTGGTCCTATGTGATGGTCAGGGTGAGGAGGGTGGGTGGGTGACAGTCACTGTCTATCAGGTGGTTAGTTACAGCCGGCAGTGTGTGGCCACAGGGACAGAGGAGGAAGACGCAGGGGATGACATGCTCCTGAGGCACCGGAAGGAGTTCTGGTGGTTCCCTCACATGTGGAGCCATATGCAGCCACACCTGTTCCACAACCGCTCTGTGCTGGCAGACCAGATGCGCCTCAACAAGCAGTTTGCTCTGGTGAGACCCCCCAGGGACCTTCCCCACAGCCCCCTCGCAGAGCTGCCTCCCTGGGTAGGACGGCCCCTCCTCTCCCTCTACCCACAGCTCCCCTCCCTCTATTTCTTCCTCTAGTTCTGTCTTTTTCCCAGTTTTGCTTCCTGGGATGGTATACCTGTCCCTTCCGCCCCTCCACTCCCCCCAACCTCGGCGGTCCCAGATGAGTCTGTGCCATCCCCAGGAGCATGGGATCCCCACGAATCTGGGGTATGCAGTGGCTCCCCACCACTCGGGCGTGTACCCCATCCACACACAGCTCTATGAGGCCTGGAAATCTGTATGGGGGATCCAGGTGACCAGCACTGAAGAATATCCCCATCTCCGCCCTGCACGCTACCGGCGAGGCTTTATTCACAATGGCATCATGGTGAGGGACTCTCTAACCTAAATTTGAAGCAAACCCTACGTATTGCCAACACATCCTCTGGCCCTTGACCCCTAGGCCCCCAAGCTCCAGCCTCGGCTGAGTTTCACTCTCACCAACATTCATAAAAATGCATGCCTATGCTTCCCCCTTTCTTGGGTCCTCAGCACTCCATTTCTCCATCCATGTTCTGCCTAATTGGCCCCAGCCATACCTGCTCCTTCCCTCCCTTCTCTAGGTCCTGCCCCGTCAGACGTGTGGTCTCTTCACTCACACCATCTTCTACCATGAGTATCCCGGCGGCTCTCGAGAGCTGGACCGGAGCATCCGTGGTGGAGAGCTCTTCCTGACTGTTCTGCTCAACCCGGTATAGGCTGAGAGGCCTGAGCTGATTGGGGGTGGGAACAGGGGCCTTCTCCCCAAATCTGATGGTCAGGTTTGGACTGAAGTTCCCCTTATATGACATGGAGATCCCTATGCAGATCAGCATCTTCATGACCCATCTGTCTAACTATGGCAATGACCGGCTGGGCCTGTACACTTTTGAGAGCTTGGTGCGCTTCCTGCAGTGCTGGACCCGGCTGCGCCTGCAGACTCTACCCCCAGCCCCCCTGGCACAAAAGTACTTTGACCTCTTCCCTCAGGAACGCAGCCCACTGTGGCAGGTCAGGCCTCGGAGCTGGAGTAGGCCAGAAACTTAACAGAAGGAAAACAGGGAGAGGGGAGAGAAAGGTAAAGAAGCCAGGTCCCAGCTGTTTCTTCCCCTCCCTCTTAGAACCCCTGTGATGACAAGAGACACAAAGACATCTGGTCCAAGGAGAAGACATGTGACCGACTCCCCAAGTTCCTCATCGTGGGGCCCCAGAAAACGGGTGAGGATACCCACGGAGCTCTTCCCTTCGGAAGCCCGCTGGCATCTCGGCTCCCGCCCGGGGCTGAGCTCTCTCATCTTCCCCGTCCCTCCCCTCCAGGGACCACGGCAGTCCACTTCTTCCTGAGCCTGCACCCCGCAGTGACCAGCAGCTTCCCCAGCTCCAGCACCTTCGAAGAGATCCAGTTCTTCAGTGGCCCCAATTACTACAAGGGCATCGACTGGTGAGAGGGGGATCCCCTAGGGCTGCTCCTTGGCACAAGCTCCTTTCCACCCAGGTCCTACATACCTAGCGCCAGGCCTGCCACTCAGAAGGTGCTTCGCGAGTGCTTAGCGATCGAGTTCTTCGTGTCACTTTACCTCCTCTCCTGGCTTCCATCTTTTTGCATTGTTCTACTCTTTGACCCTAAGTCCATCCCCAGGTACATGGACTTTTTCCCAGTCCCCTCCAATGCCAGCACTGACTTCCTGTTTGAGAAAAGTGCCACCTATTTTGACTCCGAGGTTGTACCACGTCGGGGAGCAGCCCTTTTGCCCCGTGCCAAGATCATCACAGTACTTACCAACCCTGCTGACCGGGCCTACTCCTGGTACCAGGTCAGTCTCTGTGGGGGGGGCCAGGTGTGCCAGAGGAGGTTTGAAGGGGAGCCAGAGGGATAAGAATGGGCAAATAGTCTCAGAGAGGAGACAGGAGGGACACCGTGTGATGGGGGCAAACCCTGCTACTTCATCCCTCATCATCTATACCCTCAACTTTTTCAAGCATCAACGAGCACATGGTGACCCGACTGCACTGAACCACACCTTCTACCAGGTGATCTCAGCCCCTCCCCAGGCTCCTGCTGCACTCCGGGCCCTGCAGAACCGCTGCCTCATCCCTGGCTACTACTCCACGCATCTGCAGCGCTGGCTCAGCTACTACCCTTCTGGACAGGTAGAGAGTCCTTTCCCTCCCATGGCGCCCCTGCAGTGTCCCAGGCCTCCACAAAATTGCCTCCCAGTCAGCTTCGACTCTCTCTGTGCCCACAGGTGCTGATAGTGGATGGGCAGGAGCTGCGCACAAACCCAGCAGCCTCCATGGAAAGCATCCAGAAGTTCCTAGGTGTCACCCCTGTCCTCAACTACACAAGAACTCTCAGGTGGGATGGGTAGGGAGAGCTAGGGTGACCTGCTGAGCTTATAGATCTGCCTAGAGGAAAAAGGCCCATGTCTGGGAGGGGACCGTGTCTGGGACAGTTCTCTTGAGTTGGGAGGGGGGAGTGTTTGTGTCTTTGTAGGGGTTGGCATTCCTCCCCTCCAAGTCACCTGACTACCTTTTCCTGCTAAGCAGGTTTGATGAGGGGAAGGGATTCTGGTGCCAGGGGCTAGAGGGTGGCAAGACACGATGCCTAGGCAAGAGCAAAGGACGGAGGTACCCAGACATGGAACCTGAGGTGAGCACTTAGGGTAGGGGATTCTCCTGGCAATCTCTTTATCTTCCATCCTATCTCTTGTCATGTCTGACTTTACCTTTCTCTCCTCTAAATCAGTCCCGCCTTCTTCTGATTGACTTTTTCCGGGACCATAATCTGGAATTGTCAAAACTGCTGAGTCGGCTTGGGCAGCCACTGCCCTCTTGGCTTCAGGAAGAGCTCCAGCGATCGGGCCTGGGCTGAGTGTTCTGCCCCACGGACACCCAACAGGCGATGTCTCGAGGCTAGAAGACTGGGCAGGGCCAGCGGGGCAGTGGGCTGGCCTAGTCACTCTCCCTTCTATCTCAGTGTTCCCTCAGGCCTGGATGGGGAAGGAGAGCAGGGGCCCTCACTTCCTTTCTACAACCTTAAGTCCTAACAAAGGGATCCACTTTGTGCATCCTTTCTGGGGCCCAAGACCCTCCCTGCTGATCAGGGCCCTCCCATCCCAAGTTGGGGGGAGGAAGGATAAACTGGTAGGTGGGGGTAGTTGGGAAGTGACTGCCATCCCACATTCCCAGCAGTACATCTGTATTTTTCTCAGAGGAGGCAGCCTCCAGTGTCAGCAGGTTCTCTTGCTTATGAACCCTTCAGTCAAAGGGGTCACTCTGCAGTCTGGCCTCCCTATGTCATTCACATTGAATGGGGATGAGGTCAGACAGCGGCTCGTGGAGCTGAGAACGAGGCTAGAAAGATCCTTAATAAACATCATTATTTTTCTGTCTCGTCTGTCTGGCTGCTGTGGGGGCAGGAAGTTAAAGCTCAGGTCTCCCAGTTACCACTGCCTGCAGGGGAGGTTGGTCTCATCTCCATCACACTTAAGAAACAGAGAGGCCCAAACAGATGAGTAAAAAAGGAGAGTTTATATATTTATAAATGCCAAATAAATATCAGAGGCTGCCCCGCACCCCCCCCCCAAGCAGAGCTGCCTCCTTCCCCCCACCCCCAACTAGTCGTTGGCTCTCGGGCCCAGAGGCAGCACGTTCCCCCGCCGGCCCCTGCCCCGGGGCCTAGCCCTGAAAACAACGTCCTAGGAGGGACCTCCCCCCACCCCCTGAGCAGAGCAGATCTGTCCAGCCGGCTTGAGGTCCCCCTGTCTGTTTCCAGATGGGCTCTGGGAGGGTGAGGGGGGGCCAGGCTCAAGGGGAGAAGGTGGTCATGTCAAGCGATACACGCTGCCACAGCTCCTTGGTCTGCTTGCTGCGTTTGAGGTTCTGCAGGATGTCGTTGAACTGCATCATGCCCATAGGGGTCAGGCAGAAGGCGCTGCGAGCGCCGCGGATTGCGTTCACAAAGTCGTCGTAGTCGGCAGGGGTCAGGTGGATCAGGCGGTGGTGGATGTACTGGAAGGGAGCGTGCAGATGTTGAGGCTTGGGGGATGGAGGGGTGCCTCCGTGGCTCTTCGCCCCCCCCCCCCCGCCCCGAGAGTGTGGCCACCCTCAGATTCCTCCTCTGCCTCCCCCTGGGCTCTCACCTGCATGTATGCCTGCTGGCATCGCTGGACCAGCTGATGGAAGGCTGGGGTGCGCAGGTGGGTGTGCGCATGAGCAGGGTTCAACCGCTGCAGCGTCTCCGTGACGATCTCCTGTAGCACAAATGGGCTCAGCACCCCCTTGGCTGCCCCCATACAGAACTGGTGCACGTAGTTCACTCCTGGGGGGCAGGGGGGAGGGGCATGAGACCAAGGCAGACACCCCTGCCCTGGGGGCCTAGCTGCCCTTTCTCAGCTCTAGGTCCGACAGCCCCTCTCTCTCGGCCCACCCCGATAAGCCCAGGATTCAATTCTGGCCTATGGCTGTGAAGGCGGTTTGGAGCAAGACAGGGGGGAGGGGCGAGAAGAGGTTTAGGAAGAGGTGTTACCCAGCTTAGCCGCTAGCCCCAGCAACCATTTGACATCCTCGGTGTAAGGCGGGCTGCGAGAAAAGTTGTTGGGGTGATCGTTGTGCGCCCGTCGGCCTAACATCTCCAGTGCAAGCATCCCTAGAGAAGAATGGATGTGGGCCAGAAGCATAAGAGGAGATGGGGAATCTACGGACATCCCCCCTCCTGAGCACGGGTCACATCAGCCAAGCGGAAGGAAAAGGGCCAGAAGAATCTGGGCCAAGTGTGGAAGGCTAAAGGGGGAAGAGGAGGGTCAAGGACGTCTGTGGGGCCTGCTGAAAACACACTGGGTGGCATGCAGCAGTGCCACATGGAGGGACGGGGCCAGTGGTGGGCAACAAGGTAAGGGAAGAACCCCTGGGAGCCATCTCACCAACTCTGTAGGCTGCGTGCAAGTGATGCAGACTCTGGGTGCCGACAGGCTGGCTGTGCGTCTCCTCCTCCGGCGGGGGGAAGCTCCCACTTACCAGGCAGCTCGGCTGGGTACTTATGGTGGACACTGAGTTGCCCTGGATAGCGGGATATGTGGAACTTTGATGGATGCTGCTGGGTGTATGGACACTGTTCACTGCGGGGGGAGGGGGAAAGGGAGCAGAGCATTCAGAGCCAAGAAGACCCCCCCCCCAGCACCTCCATCTTCCCCCCCTCTTCCCCAGACCCCTGGTCCCCTCACTCACTGGTGGGTAGTGGGAGCCCTGATTCAGTGTGGTAGGGATGCACCGTTATGGGTGCCATGGAAGGAACAGGGAAGGATACAGCTGTGGCAGCAAGCGAGGACGGTGTCACTGAATAGGGATACTGAGGACCCAGGAATGCATGGTGCACACCCTGGAGACAGAAGATGGGAAAGACCGGGTCACATTGGCACAGTACGCTCGCCTCTCGAGTTTTATTCACCCAGATCCCTAAAGCCCCCTTCTCAGCTGACAGTCCTCCCCCTGACTCCAAGGCCCGCCAAGGGCCTCACTCTCCCAAGACAGCCCTGCATCCACTGCTGATCATCTATCCAGAGTCCCCTCATCCTAGCCTCCCAAAGGGTCCCAATCCTCCTCTCCTCTTTCCCTTCCCTTCCCTCCCCTTGGTTCTTGTCTCACCTGTGGGTATGCAGAGCTGGGCACAGGAAAAACAGCAGGCCGAGGCATATGGGGCAAGGGGTGACCAGGGTGGGTAAGGTACTGGGGGTTGCAGGGCAGGTGGGGCTGCAGAGTGGTATAGGGGTGCAAGCCAGTGGAGTGGCCATGTCCCAGGCCAGGCCCTGGGTACAAACCGGACCCCACCGAAATGACTGGTACCACTGTAGCTGCTGCCGTCACTGCCGCTGCCGACACTGTGACTGCCTCGGTCCCTGGTCCACCACGGCCCTCGGGCAGTGCCCGCCCAGCCTCCCCCGATGCCCGGGCCCCACTGGCACTGCAGCCTGTGGCACCCTCACGTGGTGTGGCTGAGCCCCCCACCGTCTGCTCATAAAGCCAGAACCACTGGTGGGCGACTTCGAACAACACTTCAGGGTACACACCCCCACCCTTGGCTGCCTCCTCCACTGCCATGCACGCCTTCTCAAGCATCAGGTTATCCTAGAAAGGGCACAGAGAGTCAAAAGGGAGGAGCCTTAGCTAGGAACCTCTCTCTACTGTCTTGCTGAGGGCAGAGCCCCTGGCTAAGTGACCCAGGAGGAAGCCAGTTGGAGCCCAGCTATGACAGCAGCTCAAACATGGAGCAGGTGCTCAGGGAGGGGCTTCCTGACTGGCAGGAACCCCAAGGTTTGGCCACTCACTCACTAGCTAAATTAGGGGACCAATCATGTAGCCTTTAGGCATGTGATTTTCCTCAGCTGAAAACGGATATGCTCTCCCCTACCCTGTCCCTTTCACAGGGCTGTTATGAGGATCAGCCGAATAATGGACAGAAAGAATCTTAACTACATGAAAAGCACTACATCCATACACAGAAGGCACCATCAGCACATGAAAGACGGAGATCTGTGCCCCACCTCCCAAAAAATCACTCAGTGCCCAGGGGTTAAGAGCTGGACCCCATTCCTGTGGCCCCATCGTCCCTTCCCGCTGCAGCTGAGCATACACACCTGCTCCTTGCACTGCACTAAAGCTCTCTGGATCTCATTGGGGTTCAAGGCGTGGGCGTGGGGCAGGCAACTCAGGGCCAACTCCGCTGCTGCCCTCACCATGTTGGAGTCCCGTGCCCGCGAGGCCCGGTCAGCCAGGGAGGCAACTTCAGGGGGCGTAAGATGCCCATCCCAGCACTCCACCAGGATGGTCAGGGCTGCACTCCCAATCTCCATCGCTTGGCCTGCGGAGTGGGGATTGGGATGAAGCAGACTCCATAAAGCAGAAAGAAAGCTTGGGAGAGACTCCACCGGAATGGGGGTCCCTCGACCAGTGAAGACAAACTCTTTCCTTCCAAGAACTCCCCCTACCCCTGCCCTGCCTGCCTCAGAGCTCAGCCCTAAGTGTTAGATTTACCTGTGATCCAGGACACATGGGAGGAATAGGTTCGAGAAAGCCAGTTGGGCGAGACGAAATTGTGCAGACCCAAAGCATAGAGTCCGATCTCAAAGGCGCAAAGATGCAGATTTCGGTGGGGGCCCTGGTGACCCCCTGATGAGGACGGGTGGGTAAAGATGGAGGTGCTGCTGTTTCCCCCGGCCTTGATCAACACTGTTTTTGCCAGCTCAAAGTAGAAATGCGCAGCTGCCTCTGATGGCTGGTTGGGTACATGGGGGGCATGGCTCTCTGGGCGACGGCCCTTGTACCTGAGGGGCAGTGCAAATGGGAAGGACAAGCTAAGGCTGGAGGACAATGGGCACTCTGGGGACACGGGAGGCTGGAGGATCAGAGGAAATGAAAGGCACCATGGATCTGGCCTGGGAACGAAGGATGTTTCTGATAGGGAAGACCCAGGCCTTTGATGGGGTGAGGAGAGCAGAAAGGACAACACCCAGGGTCTAAGCGAACGAGACTGGCCTCTCCCGCTCACCTGCCAACCTCGGCTGTCTTGGCCCGGGCACCCCCGCTCGCACTGGCACGTCGGCTGCCGCTGGAGGAGGAGGAGCCCAGAGAGTCGGAGGATGAGCTGCTGATGCTGTCGCTGTCCTGACCCCGGCCCCAGGAGGTGGGGGCCCAGCCCCCCCGCAGTGGCCTTCGGCTCAGGGTTGGGGAGCTGTCCGATGTCGTCTCAGGGGCACTGCTGTCAATGCTGGCCATGCCTAATCCCCCAGACAGCAGTCAGTCCCCAGCCAGGGGGGAGAAGGGAGAACCCAATGGATGGGAACTCCCAGATCTGACCCCTGGGTGGGGGCTTGAAGCCTAGAACCTGTCTGGGACCCATCTCAATCTAGGGAAGTGCTTCAGGGAGTCGGGAATTACCCCCCAACTGTCCCACCCCAAGAAGAGCCCTCAGCTCAGGCAAAGACCCTTCTCCCAGCCAGGCCCGACCCAGGGCCCCTCATACCTGTGTGCTTCTTCTTGGGCCGTCCCGGGGATCCCCAGCCCCGCCCATTGTAGCCTCCTCGGCTGCCAAGCGCCAAGCGGCTTGGAACCTTCCCCTCTGGTTTGGGGGCCACGGCGGCCTCGGGTGGGGGGCCCTCACAAGGGGAACGCGGAGAGCTCTCTAGGCAAGGGAGCAGTAAGGTATCAGACAGAGCCAAAGGGAAGAGAGCCTGACTTGGGGTTCATCCCACTGTACCACCCCTGCCCAGGTCCCCCACCTCTCACCAGGCACAGTCTTTTCTGTGAAGCCCTCAGCCGGGTCTGGGTTGACCCCAGCCACAGCCCCTGGCTGGGTACCCCCTGCCGAGCCTGGAGGCAGCGGCTGCAGGCCTCCCCC